GTATATAATATAGTAAACTTATAAAAAAGAATTAACTTTATATATTTTTAATAATACGTTAAGTAGTAAGTAATAACTATAAGGGAAAAGTTAAACTAGTAAGTAGTATTAGGTAGAAAAGCTTATTAGAGATTTAGTTATATTTAAGGCTAGGTTTTTATTAAATAAAGCTTCTATATTAAGCTATAAAGGTTCTAAATATAAAGGCAAGCTTTGTATAAGCACGTAGAGAACGCAATAACCAGAATCTTATCTGCGAGTTCCCTTGGCGTGTCCGTGATATCAACGTCCCAATTCCACTTAATCCCGCAGGCGGTTTGGCTGCTATACTCCGGCGTAAACAACATCTCCTTGATCAACTCATCATCGTCTCCATCGCTAAGTGCTGCTATTTCTGTCAAAGATGCCATTTTTGTAGTCAAAGCTAAAGAGCCCCGGCTTACTTGGCCAAACAGATTATCGCCAACTTTTTCAGTGGTGATGTCGAGGTACTTGCACTCATACTCCCATTCACCGCCGTCAAGTTCCAAGGTCTCTCGGTTCACAGACGAGAAGTTCGAGTCCCAACAGACTCCGCCTCAATGCCCAGGCCACGACCACGTCGGCCCTATATCCAAATGCCTGTCCCGCAACGACTTGACGTACTTCTCAAGCCCGCCCTTATCACGAGTATTTCTTTCGAATATTAGATCCTTGAAAACATCCTCAACCCATAGGCCTGCAGCATATTCACTCCCCGTAGCTTGAGCGACTTGCTTTGCAACACCTGCGACTGCAGCTAAGCGATCTGATTCGAAGCTGATATCCAAGGTTGAGATACTTTCCGCGCACTTTCTAAAGAACGCAAACGCCTGTGCTTCTTGGTATCTTTTGCTGTGATACTCCCCTAGTCCTTTCTGGATAACCGCCGTCTCGTTTCTAGCGCCATTCTCGCAGATCAGAATCTCTGGACACCGGAAGAAGACAAACGTCGGGCTGAAGATAACGAGCCTAGCAGAGAAGTTGACTTCCTCCCATACCCAGGCGCGGCTGTACCACTTGGAATCTGTGAACTCAAAGGTGAACATGAAGGATGCTGAGTTCGCCTTGATCTCGTATGGGACGATGGAATATTCCCGACTCTCGTTCTGGAATACCGCATTTGAGGTGATCGGCGTCTTCACCCGAATGCCAGGGTGGAGCTGGCGCTGACCGAGAAAGCCCTCTCTACAGCTGTTCGAGGACGAGGGGCAAAGAGTAACGTATGCGTTGCGAAATATGTCGTTCATCTTTTGGCCTTCCACTTCCCAGTCCGCGATATCAGCTTTGCCCTGTAGAATACAGAGCGCATCGACCCATAAGTAGCGCATGCCCAACGCTTCGCAAGTTATGATAGCATCGCGAACGACGGGAGACATAGCATCGATACCAAATCCGCTGAGTCTCTCTGACAAGTTTGCGGAATTGGTTTTGGGCTGATAAGCTGCGTCCTCCGCGTTTCCCCAACAGTAGCTTAGCGCTGCGAATTTGACCCATGGCAAACCCTCCGTCTGGATGAGCCTGATGCGTCCGTTTGCTTTGCATTCTCCAATGTCCAATAGTCGCGTGGGTGTAGAGCCAGAAGGCTTCCATGGATGACAGGTCGATGCACAATGGTCAATGGACTTTTTGGTGAAGTTGAGTGTTTGGCTTGACAGGACCTCTGTAAGAGGTGGGCGCAGAAACGGTATGCTATCTACTGACTGTTAGTACATCCTCATCGCTTAAAGGCAAAGTAATGCATACCGTCATCAGAACAGGGCAAAAGCTGTGCGTATGCTAGCGTTTCATACGAACTCGACCCGTTACTTACGCTGACGGTGTAATCGAAAACCTTCCTCGGCTCCACATGAATGGCTGTCGCGGACCTCGACACCCAGCCAGTCACAGGCCCTTTATACTCCGTCGAAGGATACTGTGAAGCAAGAGTGTCTCGGATTAATTTACACAATCCACATCCAGAATCAGAAGAAGTTGCGAAGCCTGGTAGTTCTGGCCATGTGTCATCAAACCGGTACAGTATTTTGCTCGTATCATATGGGCGGTAGCCTTTGTTGTTGTCGGGGTTAGGGTCCAATAACAAATCGATATCGAGAACCTTTGAGCAGTCCTTGCACAACGGCGAGATAGGAGGTGTAGACATCGCAGCCTGATTTAGATGGTGGATTCACCTGCTGGTCATAGAGCTCGATTTTCTCTTTATGCTCTTTCCATGTCTTCAAACGACAAATCTGACATGTTTTAAAAGGAGCTCAGGGCCCCTGTTCTGATCCCTGTACGGAACGGGTGAATAGTCAGCCCGAGTATCCTGAAGGCATGTGAAACACCGATTTCGATCAGGCTGACCTCTAATCAAGGGCACACATCCTGTATAAAGCTATTTTATAATTACTACAGCCAATCTCAATCCATAGTTGTATAGTTAGATTATGCAAGCAGTATACGTTGGCTTTGCCGCGAGAGTGCCGTGTAGACAGCCTAAGAGGATGTGGCCAACAAGTTTGCCTGGCTACTAAACTTGAGTATATGCTGCATATGTTTAAGGATGAGGGAAGTCAATTGATTAGTACTTCCTCGACTTTTAAATGGCAAGGTTACAGTAATGGCATGGTCTGTCGCGTCAGCCTCTACAGAGTTAAATATCGCTTCTAACGGGGCAGTGAGAGCATCATTTGACGAGATTCCAAAGACCGCTGGCTGGTTTCATGTGGAACCAGGAGCTTGATAAAAGATTATTGTATGGTTATAGGCGCGCGAAACACGCAATGTCAATTTGATTGTGGGTTAGGCACACTTCTTTGTACTTGGGTTGAAAAGCATGGCCATTACTTTTTGGCTGAGTGGCTGGCATGTGCGACGCATTTGCCAAGGCATAAGATAGTGTCTCAACTGCTTGCACAGTGCCTGATCTATGCGTACTTACACTGCACGTAGCTTTACCCATTAATTTGCGACTCTAAACCACTAGAAGGGTTCTGCGCAATTGCGCAATAAACACGTACCAATGAACGGATGCCATGTCACACCATGAAAAGGTGGCTGTGGTAGAATGTACTTCCAATGTCACAAATCAGGCTGTGCCTGTTTTATGGATAAAAACACAAAGATGCTCTGGCCAATCTTCCCTCATTACCCGACTCTTTGTCCATTGCAAAATCCCGTTGAATCTTCATAAAACCTCTCTGCTTGGCTGCCTTCGTCACATAATCAGTAGCCAATATCAGTGACCATGGAGCCCGTGGGTGCTACCGCCAGCATACTCACGTTTGTAACTGTGGCATTTTCCGCTACCAAGTCAATTTACGGCGCCCTGTCAGCGATCAAAGACGGTCCCGAAAATCCTTGATTCCATCAATAATGAAATATCACAGCTTCAGAATATTCTTCAAAGACTATCACAAGTCGTTTCATCAACAAACAGACCCATCGATAGATCAAAGCTTGAGCAAATGGTCAAGAAATGCAGAGATGATTTGGTCGGATTCGAGGTCAAACTTCGCCAACTGGATGTCTCGGGAGCCGACGGTCGAAGAGGCCAATTATGGCGAAAGCTAAAGATTTGCTTTGAGGAGAAAGAACTCGATCGGATGCGTCATAGTGTCGGGAGGCATGTCCAACTGGTCACACTCTACTTGGGCACCATTCAGGACCAGCAGTCGTCGCTCATCGCGAAACAATCAACGGAAATACTTGCCCGTATTCAACAACTCCAGCAGTCATCGTCTACATCAACACAGTCAACAGAGATACTTAACCGTATTGAGTACCTCCAGCAAACATCACCTTCCGCAACACAATTAAATAATGTGCTTGTTTCTCTCCAACAACTCCAGCAGAGTATGGCGACACTGCAAACATCCAGCACATCTGCCCAAAATAAAATTGGGTCATCGGGCATTTCATCAAGGGTTGTAGAACTAGACGACGAGGACTCACCGATCTCGCAGCAGACCGCTTTAGATGATACTATCGCTCGATTGATGCGGTTACTTGAAAAGAGACCATCCATTGTGGAATTTTATGACGCACAGGAAATATTTGAGGACCTGGAGCGGCTATTGCACTCTGTTCGGGATGATGCACAGTCTAGAAACGTGAGAGAAGGAAATGAGGATCAGGATGCAGACGTCTCAAAGGAGATGAAGCTTTTCACAAGTCTGCTTTTCTCGGCTCAGTCTTTAAGAGTCAATCAAACCGGTAGGTCTATCTGTCTTCCAACAAACTAGTGGCTAATTTAGAAAGAACCAATGAACTCTATTAAGTCTACGAAGCCAAGAGCTGCGATCCTCCAACAAAGGAAGCGGAAAGAAATGGACACCGGCGACAATGTCCTTACAGTCACGACAACGAAACGACGGAGGAAGCTTCTCCCTGTGTCACAAAACCCTCTAGACAGCGAAATATGCGGATGGAGGTTCCTTGGAAGTCTAACCGTAAAATCCAAGACTAAGAAGAAAATGATCACCGTATCTGTGAACCGGAGCCAGCTTCTGTTTGATCGATTCACAAGCATGTTGCCGCGAGTAATAGTTTGTCAGATTCTCCCCAACACTCACATCTATTTCAAGTTGCCTCACGTGGCTCGGTCCAAGATCTTATGAGATTGATAGTTAACAACAAGGCTAGCCTCCATGACCATGATGAGAATGGCTGGTCTTTACTGCATGTAAGCATTCACTGCGCTTTAATCTATTATTTTCAATCTGTATCAAGCTAATTATCCTGCTCCCTATCCAAGCACGCGGTCGGGAACCTTCCAATGTTGAAGTTTCTTATCCAGGAAGGATTGGATATTGACGAGGTTGCACAAGACAACGACCAAAGCCGCTACAGCCTCACGTAATATTTTTCCAAAGTCCTTAATTTCAACTTGAACTAACGAGGATTGAATGAAGGAACCCTTTACTAATAGCATACCATTACCACCATGACACCAACTTTTCAGAAGCTCTTTTGTATGCTGGAGCTGATCCTACCGTTGAATTGGGGGGTCATCGAATACTGTTAAAAAACTTGACTTATAATGCCCGTATTCAGGTGAGAGAGTCATTGCACAATGTAGAACAAGCTCATTGATAACATCAAAAGACCAGGAATATACTATATCGATCCCTTTGTATCAGCTCATTCCTACTTTCTGACTCTCAGCATGAGATTTATGGCCTTATATATAGCTTCTGTCGAGCATGGGCAGAGTCCCCAGCAGAAGACTTCAATCCAGAGCAGGAGCGGCAAACTTTGGATCTCCTAGTCAGCCGCGGCTGTAGTCTACAGATTATGGACTGGAGGTCCAGTGGCCTTCACGGGTTCTTTTCAACCAGGAGAAAGTCATTCTCAAGGGTACTGGCTCGACGAGATCTATTGACCTATCTCATATCAAGGGGCGCCTATCCTTACATAGCCGATATAACGGGTAGGACAGCATCATACTTCGCATATGGAAGCATGTGTAAACCCTGCTCTATATCCCAATCCTCTTTGATGGGTGATCTATGGGACACTGTTCTTGATATTTGCGGTTATGATATCTCAAAGTTTCGACGCAATCGCCCTCGGAGAGCAAGTTATGAAAATGGCTATAACCGTGACATATTCGAAGAGCTCTGGCGTGGTAGAGAGGACCGCTGCCCTTACTGGAATGATGAGGCTTGGCCAGAGTTCTCAAATCAAGAGACGGAGTTCACTTTTGATTCGAGACTATTGTGCACAGATTGTTGGACTTGCTTCGTTGGGGATTACTATGAAGGCCCTTGCAATCACTGTGGGATTTGTCGTTTGGTATTCCAGTACTCCTGTGCTGAGAAATCCGACCCTGATCATGGACACAGCCCCTGTTGCCCACGCTCCCGAGTTGGGTACTTTGAGCTTTCCGAAAATGATGGTCAGTATACTTTCAGACCGGAGAGCTGTTCAGACTTGGACTCAGATGATGAAGAGTCTGATTGCGGCAACACTTCTTTTTCGATCGATGAATTTGAAGATGAACAGTCACCGCCCGATCAGGCATTGACTAGATATTGGGGTCCTGATTTCGAGGAAATTATTTCAGAAGATGAATCAGTTGGGGGAGTTTCGTTATAGCTTTATCTAAGAGATATGGTTCTTGAAAGCTTGGTAAATAGGATATTTTTTACTTGCTAAATTCTGAAACTGTTACGATAATCTATAATCTTACGTCACCACTGTAGCTTCTATCCAAGGCCCTTATATAAATAGGATAAGTAAATCGCATTCTATCTTTCTATTTAAAATAAATTAGAACAGAAGAAATAAGACATTTAATATTAAATTAAGGTATCAGGATAAACTGGTCTAAACCTGTGCTAAAATGTACTAAACCTGCCTAAGTCTTTTTATTAGTTTGGATAAAGGTCCTAAGTTTTCTCAAATCCCCTTGCCCGTTCTACTTTGACTCTGCTAACCTTCGTGTCGATCATTCATAGCGATAGCTCAGCAAGTTCGACGCCGTTGTCATCAGTTCGGACACAAGTTTATCAGGGCCGAGGCCGAGCATAGGCATCTTGTCCTTCAAACTTGCCTTTTTCTTATCTGTTTCACCAGACGCAAGAATGCGTATGCCCGAAAAGTCCGAGTTTCGCTGCTTAGGGCTCTTCTGCTGCCAGAGCCACCACAAACGATCGATCTGTGCATGGTGCAGCATGAAGAGAGGGTCTGTATGACATGACACGTTAGTTACAAAACAGGCTGAGGGTCTTTTTTCGCTTAAAGCTTACCGTTAGGTGATGTTGATGGTATCATGTCTCCTCCAATGGCTTGATGGATAGCACCATGCGGTCCATTCTCAAGATCAGTGGCAAAAGTACTGAAATTCATGGAGGTGTTTATTATCTTTGACACCACCTGCAGCGAATAAGCGTTTCCTTGAAACTTGCCGGCCTGGCCTGTGCCGTCGTTGAACCCGCGATTCAAGCAATGCGGCCTCAACGCATTGTCATAGTATTGCACAGTGAAGTTGTTGAATGCGCCATCGAGGACACACATTGTCAAAGGATTTGGTCGCGCCGGGCTCACAAAGCCTCCGTTCAGGCCGTTACCGCCAAAACCACGCGTCTTGTCATTCAAGAACACTGGGCTCTTAGACATGTCTTTAGAATCGAGTGTCCAGTCCCAATAGGGCATAGAACCACGATATCCGCATTCTCGCAGTGAGGTCTCGTAAATATGGACAAAATACCGGTGCCAGGGCAGGAACTGAGCCACAAAATGGACTACGGAAGGGTCAGCATCATTGGCCTGAAGAGGAAGGATGTTGAACTCACTCTGGATATTAAGCTTTGTATGAACATAAGGGGAGTCGTTGTAGTGAGATGTTTTCAAGCCAAGCTTTGAAGGAAGTTTATCCAGGCATTTAACAGCGCTGATGTAGTCTGCTTGAGCTGATTTTGACAACTTCCGCCACTCGACTCTGGTCTGTACTTGAGAAGGCGTTGTATACTGGCTTGGTGCTGCGATAGCAACTGCGACCAGCAGGGCAATAGTGAATATTAACGATTTCATGTTGATGAGAAAGAGAGTTGTAAAGGAACCAAGGGCAGGTTACCAAGCGTGACTCGTTCTTATATTTATTGCGGATTGATGTACCGCATTAACTCATAAAATTCGGTAGTCCCTGTAGGTACACGCTAGGCAAAGCTACTTTATTTATTTAACTAATAAGGCTATTTAACTAGCTATTAGATCCTTATTTAATATCCTAACTAATCAGATAGCTTATATCGGACTAGTAAGTACCCACAGGGACTACCGAATTTTATAAGTTAATGCGGTATCTACTGTAAGCGGTGTTACTGAATGTTGATCGACGGAGAAAAATAGCTGGTCGTATTCGATACCTTTTGAGCCAATCAGACGTTGATGGTGTCCGCTCTAGTTATCCAAATAAGAATGTGGTCTATTTATCAGCCGATGAGCGGGCACGAAGCTGAACATATTTGAGGGCCGATGACTACCGACCTTAGAGCATGAGACAAAGGGCTTAGATGTCCATATAAATGCACTTAGCTGAGGCCGGCGTTTACTGAATGCCGGGGTTGCGGGGTAACACTAGACTAAAAGTGAACGAGTTGAAGACGGCATCGTTTATTGCCGGGGTCTGCCGCGTGACTCGATGTTTATTTTATAATGCAGTGTATGCTGGATAGAGTCAAAATCCGTAGTTGCTCGTATGAAAGATATCTAATACAAATTGAGATAGAAGTAGTAGAGAGCAGGAGCACAGAAACTTTAGGATACCTGGATCGAAGAGAACTGACTTGTTCGTGAGAACGGAACTCCACTCCACATCCCGATTGCTTCATGGCCATGAGGGGCCGAGTAACCCCGGATCTCAGTTATTTGACCCCGCATCCGGGGCCCGCAATGACCTCCGGGCTTCCTATTATTTAAGAAGACGAATAGCCATGTTGGATTTACAAATGAATTAGCCATCGCAAGCCTAGGCCTGGGATTCCAACAGTAGTCTCGGTATCTCCCTTGTAATCTTCCCGCCTATCGCCATGAGCGGCTTACTTGATAACATCCCGAACTTCTCTCGAGAAGCGCTCTTCGCAGTGCTCTCACTATCCCTATGCCTGCTTTATTTGTCAATTAAAGTCAGTCTCCGTACCTCTGCTCATATCACTCTCTAATTGACAACTCTGCAGCTCATCGGACGTTTACTCTTCAGTCCTCTCCGGCATGTCCCCGGGCCGTCCGCGACCAAGCTCACCGGAGCATCAGTTTGGCTGAACACTGTACAAGGCCGTCGCGTTTACGTACGTACATCTTCGACCGTCCTATTCGAGCTTGCGCTGATAGCAGAACCGGGATAAAGAAACTGGAGGAACTACATAAGAAGTACGGCCCTATCGTACGAACTGGTCCGAATGAGGTATCAATCAGCGACTGGAGACACCTACGCACCATCTATCTCAATAACAAGGGAATGATCAAAAGTCCAGACTTCTATGAAGCTGCTACCTTTGTGGGTAAAGACAATATTTTCCAGATGATGTGAGTATAGTCTTCGTTTCTATCACCTCTGATTCCTTAACTTCATATGGTAAGGACAGATATCTGACTCGACACAACAGAAATGTTCAACAACATGCCGCACGAAGAAAGATGAGCAGTCCACCATACTCACTGCAATCCGTCGCGCTACTAGATCCCCTGATCAAAGTCAATGCCCAACGTCTCGCGCTGCGGCTGAAAAGTGGCACATCATCTCCTGTCGATGCATACACTCTATGCGGTCTCTTCAGCCTCGAGGTGATCTGCCAAGCTGGCTTCGCAAAAGACTTCTCCAACGACACCAATGGCGCAGCTGCTCTGAAGCTCCTCCAGGCGATGGATGGAAGCGCACTTACCCTGCTCTTTGACGGCGCTCTTCCTTTCGTAGCCAGATTTGACATTGGTACCAAATTGCCAGGCGCCATTGGTGACTCATATCGTAAGCGAGAGTACTGGCGGGAGAAGTCTTATGAGATGGTCGATCATTTTCTTGAGAAGAGTGCCGATGATGAGAAGTATCTGCTTACGCCGTTGGCTACTGGCGTTGATGGCTACTTGGGACGTAAACTTACTCATGAGGAGCTTGTTGAGGAAGCTATGGGGTACATGTTTGCTGGCTCGGGTACTACATCGTCGACATTGACTTACCTGCTGTATGAGCTCTCAAAACCGGAGAACGCTGCTATACAGGAGCGTTTGCGCACGGAAGTACTGGCAATACCTGATGACGATATCGTGGCCATCAGAAACAACGCGTACATCAATGCCGTCATCAAGGAAACATTCCGCGCCCATCCAACGATCATCTCGACCATTCCCCGCCTACTCACCGAGCCCTTAACTCTCGGCCAATACACTCTACCGTCAGGCACCGTTATCGGAATGCAGAATTGGCTTCACCACTATGATACCTCAGTGTTCCCCGACCCAGAGAAATTCATACCTGAGCGATGGCTCAACGAAACACCCGAAATGAAGTCTGCTCTCACACCGTTCAGTCTAGGTAAGAGAAATTGTATCGGGCAGAATCTCGCGTGGCAGGAGCTTTATTGGGCTGTAAGCGAGGTCATGCGCTCTGGTTCAAGGTTTAGAGTTGCGGAGGAAATGAAGGATTGGGAGATGGAGATGGAGGATCGGTTCAATATAGCTCCGCGTGGGAGACGGCTCATGCTTACTGTTTCGCTGGTCGATTAGGAGCGGGGAATTGTTGGAAAATCGGGCGGATAAAGGGAAATGGACAATAGACTTACTTGACTAAATAAATGAGGTTGGGCGGTTTAATGGTACTCTAAGCGTCCAGCCTGTCTTTATGTTATAATAGTAACATGGTTCTCGGACATGTGACGCAAATCACGATGCTTTATAGTAATGTTTGAGTGAATAATAGTCAATGATTTAAAAAATCTATTATACAGAGTACAGGCTGTGTACATCTAATCATGCATTTTGAACGCCAAACACCCAGTAGACAAATGAAATAGTTAGTACAGTCTTCAGGTCCCATTATTCTTCACGTCAGGTATCATATCGCTTCACCCTGTCCATCATTCTATCCTCTCTTTCCTTACGCCTTCTGCTTCGACACCGCCCTGTACCGACTAGGCAAGCCGACATTACTCCTCTCCGCCGGTGGAATGCTCTGCGCATACCCGCCATAAGCCGGCAGCGCAGGCTTCACCGCTGGAGCCATGCTCCCACTAGTCCCTGGTCTTTGTGGCATGCTACCCCAAGAATTATTTGGCTGGTGTTGCGCGCCAAACGTCATCGTCTGTATGAACTGCATCTGATCCTGAATGCCCTGCGGTATTTGCTGATGTATCTGCCCCGAAGGCGTTTGTGGCCTCGATAATTGATGTGGCATCGGCGCACCATAAGGCGAAGCCATATACGGCGAAGCACCCGTCAAAGCAAACGGGTTCTGTGGTGGTGCTTGAAAGCCAGCACTCGGCGATCCCCGCCGCGAGGCCTTAGCGCGCTCCTCGTTCGCAATAACGCTGATCAAACCGCCCGTAAACATGGGCTTCTTGGTTTGAAATGGGTCTTGGAACGGGTCTTGGAAAGGATCTTGAGGGAGATTTGTTGCAAAGGATGGTAAGCGCAGATGAGAACCGTTATCGGGCTTTCCATGCGCCGAACCAGGTCTCATCATGTGTTGTTGTGCGGAAGCGCGGAGATTGGGGTTCGATCGAACGCCTGCTAAGCGAGACAGGCGATCGCGTTGACTTCGAGCCTGTAGCATCGCCAGCGGCACATCGTCGTCGCTATCATCATCGGGGATGTTCATCCATGGGCCTTGTATAGAGGGGATGCGTGAGTGTTCTATTGATGGAGGTCCTTCGGTCGTCTTCATCATTTGTTGTCGGTATCCAGCGAGATGCGCTTCTTGACGTTCTCGATGGTCATTTTGTTTCTTTGGCTTGTTCTCGTCATCGGAATCGTAGTTGATGTTCTCTTCTTCTTCGTCTCCGCTGTTCTCTTCCTCTTTTCGCTTTCGGTAGGCTTCTTGTGTCATGACACTAGGTGTTGGGGAAGTGCGGCCTGGCATTGTGGCGTGTAAAGAATGAATGGATGGGATATGGCGGTAGCAACGGTTTGCGGGGTATTACAGGGTCAGTCACCACAAGTTGAAGGATAGAACGACGGAGAACGCAGTATGTTTTTGAAGCGCTGCTGTCCTTTTTGTATAAAGTTCGTCACGGACATTGTCATAGAACTGCCGGGGCTTTTGCTGGTTTCTACGGGGCTCATCCCTGCTTACAATCAGGTACTAGCGCCCCCCGTAGCTAACGTCAGATTGATGACCAATGCGGGTATGGCTCCCTCCCAGTGCAGCAGTCCTCCCCCAATGATTCATGATCCAAAGCCGCAACCAGAAACCTTGTGGCTGGCTGCGTGTTTAAATAGTTTCTACAAAAGCAATGTTTCCTCCCAACAGAAACTTTGCCTCATCTTCGTATCTGTACACGTAACATTCTTGTCTGTTGTTTTGGGCTGACGGTCGGAATGTTCGGGTTCCCGCTTAGCGCTTTGATGACATGCGTTTTTATGCTTCGGAGAGACCGTTGCATAGCGCATTGAGGCTTAACTGGCCCGTTCCCCCCTTTTCTCTCATCCCAAGTCTTGGGACTTTGGCTCCAGCCAGGGTTCGGATAATTTTAGAAACGCTGATAGTTTCAGCAGACTTCTCAGTTTGGTGATATTTTTCTTGCCCTCTTGCATTGTTCTGTGCAAATTTGTTATCTGCGTATTTCAACCTCTGTCATCTCGATACCAAAGTTCTAATTGAACAGAGTTTTCACTTGTAAAGCTTATTGCATGGCGAATGTGCATTTTCTCGTAAATGGACCAGGGGAAGTTGGGCCCAGAACTCTGCAAGCTCGCGGGGCAAAAACCTCGTATAGATTAAATCGAAGCAAGATATTTTCCGCTAATCAATTGGTGTGAGCCCTGCGCGCGATGGGGCCTCGGCTGTTATTTTAAGGCTGGGAATGACAAAGCAGGAATTCCCCTTTTCTACGCCAAGCTTTCTATTTATATCGCTCTCCAGTATTTCGCGGAGAGGTCAATTTTGAACTGACTTCATCTTGATTTTCCCGTCAAAATGCCTGCAATAATTCTATCTTTATCATTGAGACTTGGAGAACTCCATTCTCGGTGGCATTATAGCTTCGGGTTGACTGCCGATCGCGACGTGATGGCGGGTGGAATGACATGCTTCTCCAGAAATTACCGAGACAAGCTTATCCTTATCATGATAGCGATAGCGATAGCACAAATACCCTCGAGCAGTAAACTTGCCCCTATTTTATGAACATTGTCATCATACTATACACCTCATTGTAACAAGTATTAATAATTAATCAATATACAGCAATTTGATAATTCTGAATTTAAAGGATCTTGCATAGTGATAGTATTTACGTGATTGCTATGATGGCATCGACATGTGGTTCTATCCAAAACAAACCCAGCCTGTACTTGAACTCAAACACTGTGAGTCTCCATTCACGATGGTATCAGTGGTAACACAAGACAATTGAAGCGCCTGATAACATAGTGACTAGGGCAACACAGAATCTTTTATTACTCCCTTTTCAAAAGGTTATGCCACTGATTAGTTGATCGGTGACGAAGGGCGATCGGATGGATGACAACGATGCGCGGCCCGCAGCGGCACGAGGTTTAGTCTTAAGTAGTTCAGCTAGTAACGCCCAAATCAGGCAATAATCTGTCTCCCGCCACAAGCTGAAGATGATCTTCTCCGTCCTCCATCGCGGATAATGTTTTATCCGAATTTTACCTCCACTCGCTGCATCGTAACTTGTCGAATAGAAAGATAAGTTGCCATACATACTCTAGTGCTTTGATCTGTTTATTGCCTTAATTCGCTCGATTGAACTCACCGCCAGCGATGATCGTCATCATTCCAAATGTCTCAGCCAAGCCCCGCCCAGCTAGTTCAAATCGAACATGACGGCAAATCAAGCTAAACGCTCAATCGGGAGGATTAGTGTCTAAATATTGAGGTGTCCCATCGTCAATGGTGCAGACCTGCATGTGAGACAGCATTAGGGCTGTTGATAAGCAGGTTTTGCGCGCGTTTCGATAGAGCCATATCCAATGATCGACCGATCTTCAGTTTGCGACATTTGGGCCTAGCTGTTTGTGTTTGAGCCAGCTAGTCTATGGAGCTGACGGCCTGTATTTATGAAGAGCTCCATCTCCAATCCTTTGGCGAGCGGTCAATCGTAATCAATCTTCCAAGCTACTCAAATTTACACGCCTGATCATGGCATCTCAATCGAGCTACAAACTTCCACCAGAATGGGGCCTCATGCCGCCTAATCCAGATCCGGATTTAGTACTTCCCGGAGATGCCCTTGGAAGAGACCTGGATCGAATTGATATGCCATCTCTTGACGTTCCCATCAGTCGCATCATAGGATCTACACCTCTTGCTTTTCGCCCTGATGTTGAGGTCCCAGAACTGTCCGAGATTGACTCCGAGACAGATGAGCAGCCCGGCACCCCGCCCGATGCTGGTGCTGGGGCTAGTTTCGTAGGCTGGAACAGAACCATCAAGTCCGGTAGTCCTCCTCTGCATCGAGCGACAGTTATCGGAGGTGCTGTGGTGCGCAATCTATGTCTTGTCATCCCAGATGAGAACATGAATGGCTTTGCCGATCTTCCCGTCCAGCCTATTCGAGCAAGCAAGGGGCAGCCTGCTCAACTGGTTGCCAAGATCTTGGACGATGAGGACGAAAAGCCTCCAATGCCTTTCCTTATTCTGCCTGATGAACGCCGAGGTGGCTCCGATATCCAAAGTGCCGACTCCTCTGCGATGAATCGCTTCGCGACTTGGAGCTCTTCGTTCAGTCCCGGCAAGCCAGCCTCGGGGCCTATTTATTGGGCCCTTTCTACTCTCAAGGTAGCAGGAGCTCCCGAGGAGAAGAAAGGAGAGGAAGGTGAGAAGGAGAAGCTTGGAAGGTCCAAGATGGAAGAGTTTGTCTTGTCTGGAGATATTGATGACTTTTGGGGGATCAAAGGCTTGACTGCCAAGTTATACAAGTACAAAGGTATGTGACTACATCCATTTTGATTGCAGACACCTTCTTCAACCACTTTCGTGTAAAAGTTGAATTGGACACGAATCTGACTCATCATTAGGACCCGAGAAGGATGCCGCTGATGTTCCCGAGGAACCGAAAGACAAAGAGGATAAGAGTGAAGATAAAGTCGAAGAACCGAGCACTAAAGCCTCAGATGAGAAGGAAGATAAAGAGGAGAACAACGAGGAGGACGATAAAGATGAGCCTGCCAGAGAGAAGATCAAGCTGGACACTGAAAGCTTCACCCTCAAAGGCCAACCTTTGGGGACATTGTTCCCCTCCATCAACGATTTTAACATTAAAAATCTTCCCATTGAGAATCTTGAAATCACCTACTCCGAGGAGAAGAAGAACTTTCTCTTCAAGCCTGGTCTGCGACTCGAAGTGGACGTCTTGTTCAAGGATAGCCTCGCCTGGGCTGGCGATGCCTTAAAGAAACTCTTTGGACCCAACGATCCTCCCAAGTCTATTCATCTTAGTGCCTATTTGTCGGATACTCGTGACTAGTCCAAGAGGCCCAAGATTGAGAGTTTGGTCCTTCAAGGATATTTTCCACCACTAACTCTCAAGGCTTGGGATCTACTAAACTTCCGGACGCTGGGGATCGAGATTACAGCCACCAAAGCGGCCAGGAACAAGCCATCAGAAGAAGAGTCCAAAGGTGATAAGCCCGAAGATGGAAAGCTAAAGGGCGAGACTGATGGCGATCACGAGATTGGCAATGGAGATACCGAGACAGCCAAGCTTAGTAAATTTAACGGCACTGAAGAGAACCGGGGCGATGGTGATGCTGAGAATCAGGAAGGGGAAGATGAAGAAGAAAATTCTGACGACAAAGCGAAAGAAAAGAAGTCTTGGTCCTTTGGCTTTGCCTTTTTCGGAACTGTGCTAATCACCAAAGTTCCCCATGCAAATGTCCCGCTGGATGTCAACTATAGAATTGCGAGGGACTTTGTTGCCGCGGAAGAGAAAGAGAAGAAGGAAGACGACAAAGAGGACAACGGCGATGACAAGGCTGCTGAGGATGAAGGGGGAGAAGCAGGCGCAAAAGAAAAGTCTGTTATGGCGATGGATGAAAACCCTAAAGAGGGCAACAAGAAGGGCGGAGAGAAAGACAAGAAAACCGGCAAGAGCATTGAAAAGTCTAAGCATAAAAGAAGCTGGAATCTGCTCATCAAACCGGACAAGTGGGAGAACATCTACGGTATCGAGAATGTTACGGTACGTCCAGACGCTGCCTACAAGACGTTGCTAATATCGCGCGTCAGATGAAAGATGCGGAGCTCAAGGCGTCATTTGAGGAGGGTGACTTTCGCAGCACGATTAAGCTGGGACTTTCAGCGGAGCTGAAGTTGGGTGATGGAACGTTTAAAGTCCAAGGACAGATATCGCGAGGTATGTCAGAGACGCAAGGAGACAGTCAACTGCTAACATGACTAGATGACAACTATCTGGAGGCTGAGGTAGGTGAACTTACACTGACTGACATCAAGAAAATACACGCACAGATCTCGGGACAGAAGTTGCCTGAGAAGGAAACGAAGAAGTCAGACGAGGAGAAAAAAGCGGACGAGAAGAAGACGGCTGGAGGTAACGAAATCACTTTCAAAGAGATGAAACTCAAGCTGTCAAGCAAGAAGTCGAAAGAAGAAAAGACTACCAAGAAAGCGCTTGAGCTCAACGGGAAAGTCACTTTCAACCAACATTCGAGCGCAGTCGGGAGTCTTACCTTTGCGAGTGAGGGAGTGACAGTCCAAGGTGGTATCTCAGACGTCAAGATTCCTGAAACTGAGGTTATGATCAAGAAGGCGGGCTTGGAGATCTTCTTTGGATTCAAGTCAAAGAAAATCGAGGAGAAGTCAGATGAGAAGAATGGCGATGACAAGAAGGAGTCTAAGCCAACTGGCGATAATGAGCCCGAGGTACCGGGCAAAGATCAAGATGGCGAGGTGGAAGAGGAGAGTTCGGAGAAGTTGAACGATGAGCCACCTGCCAAGACACCATCTGAAAAGAAGGGGAAGGATAACAAGGCGAAGAAAGCCGAGAGAGGAAACTGCTTCGGCATCCTGGGCGTGGTTGAAATCAACAAGATCGCCATTAAGGTTGGACTTTACACTGAGCAGAAGAAAGACAAAGAGAAGAGGGAGTGGCTGGCATTCGGTGCGATTGAGAACGTCAGGTTGAGGGAGATCTGGAATGACATTCCTGAGGGTAACTTTCTCAACCTCGAGCTGAAGAACATTGCACTCATCGCTTCATCTCATGAGAGGAAGAAGAAAAAGAAAGACGACAAGAAAAAAGATGAAGATGGTGATGGGCAGTCAGAGAAGACCGACGGTGATAAGGAGAAGAGTGACGAGGTGAAGCCCAAGGCGATTGGGAATAAGGTGTCGGATGGCGAGGTCTGGGTAAACAGTCTTGATGTGTTCACCGTCACCGAGGAGAAGCCTGATGAGGATTCGAAGGAGGAAGAGGGAGATGGGGACAAAGATAAGGAAGAAGAGGACGAGGAAGACGAAAAGGAGCCAGATAACTGGGACGTATTGGGAACGGTCGACGCATACAACTACCCCGTTGTCAAAGGCGAGTACAGATGCGATACTATGAACTCTTGAGTTAACATTTTGAAAAGGCCTACAGCTTTGTGCAACTATCCACTCCTTCCCGCAACTCGAGGAACTCAACGGAAAGAAGAAGTTGGAAGGACTCACGCTCATCTTATCGATAACCTCGAACGGCAAAATTAGTGCTACTATTGATCTTCCCGAGTCCTTTAGAGTAAGTCTCCAAGGATGCCCATGCTGGGTCGCACTGACGTGTTTTAGGTGCAACTTTCGGATACTGCATACCTCCACAGCTTTGGTACTACTATCGCCATCAAGTCGACGACGGGGCCAGAGTTGAACATCCATGCAACCTTGACTTTCACGTTCAAAGACTCAGACCCTATTTCCGTGGAGGGAGTCATTGTCGGAAGCTTTAAGGGTGCGAGAGGAGAATTGTAAGCCTGGTGAGATATCGTGATGATATATGGCTGATGACTTGGCAGGAAAATGTCTGATGACTCTAGATGGGTCAATCCGTTTGGTCTGAATAAGAATATGGTCTTTTCTCAACTCGGGTTCGGAACAGGCTTTACATATGCGACAGTTCTCGTCACTGGACCAGAGTAAGCCTCCCACTCAGTAGCAGTACATTATGCTAACGAAATCTCAGTGAAATCGCTCTCCGAGGACAAGTAGACATTGGAAAATTCTGTGCGAAGCTCGACATGGGTCTCCGTGTGACCACCGCCGAGGCAGTCTTCCGACTCGAGATGAACAAGCTAGATGCAATGGAGATTGTTCAGCTCGCTGGCGTCCTCATCAACAACCAAGCAATGCAACAGATGAAAGGCGCAGAGGGGAAACTGGTCTTCAAGGACCTCAAACTATATGTCTCATCTGGCGCTGAGTTCTTAGGTCGCTATTACGATCGCGGTATCCAAGTGCAAGGCAAAATGTGGTGCTTCGGTAAGAAAGGAGAGTTTGACGGCAGATTTGATGAAAGTGGCGTTGTTATTAAAGCAGGGATCGACAACTTCAAGGTCGGCGGTCTGGAGATTACATCAACGCAAGAAGGTGTTGATCGAGCGACCATGGACATCGAGATGACCAAGGACAGACAGAAGCTGTTCATTGACGGCAGGATTCGGTACTACAGCCTCGAGATCAGCGTGTTTCTTGACCTTGATGTCCAAGCGCAGTACCTCAAACTGGATGTCAAGATCAAGCTGACAGAGAGCTTATTGCTGAGCCTCAAAGCCGACGTTGTGGTAAAGAATCACAATTCCCTTGAGGGAGCCGAGATGAGCTTCGAGGCGATTTTGGAGACTGACATCTTGGGTGCTATTTTGCAAGGCATCACGGACGGTATTGATGCACTGCATAAGCTAGCTGACAAGGCCATCGACAATGCACGGAGTGACTTGACTACAAAGCTCGCCCAAAAGAAAGCTGCGCTGAAAAAAATGAAGGGTGAGCTAGAAAAGCTTGAAAAGGAGTGCACTGCAGAAGCCTTGAAGAAGCAAAAGGAGATAGACAAAGAGAACGAGTTATTGAGGGGGCTTCATGACGAGTTTGAGAAGTACGCAGAGGCTTTCCGAGAAGCAAAGGAGGCCAAGGATAAAAATGAAAAGGAGATTCAAAGATTGGAAAATTTGAGAGACGAGGCAAGAAGAAGGCTTGGAGAGAAGAAGACGGAGATGATGAAAAAGTATGAGGAGGAGATTGAGAAAGAACGGGCAAAGAGGGATGCTATGGAGCAAGAGAAGAAGAGATTGATTGACAGTCGAGACGCGAGTTGGGGAGATGCGTTGCGAAGTTATAGGGAGGCGGACAGAAGTTGGCAGTGGTGGTGTCGTAAGTACCTGAGCTTTGAACCATCGGCAAGTTCTAACCTTGGTAGGGCTCGAAAAAACACGGTATGCGTGGAAGAGGACGTGCGAGTCGAAGTTATATTGGTGTGCCTGGTATGACAAGCCATATTCGGTACGTTTCGTTTCGCCCTTGATACACGCACGCATCAGCTAACACCTTACGAGACCATCAAGCTCACCGAGGCCACACTAGACCTCGAAGAAGCACATGCTCGAAAGGCAGCCGATGCAGAACTCCGACACGCAGGAAAAGCCATAATGGACCTCCCAGCCTTCCGAAGCATTGAAGCAGCCATCAATGAAGCAGCCAGAAAGATCGACCAGTTTGGAAGAGCGATCAATGGTCTCCTCAACAGAGGACTCGGAGCCTATCTCGACGAGATGCTGAAGGATGAGAGAGAAGATCTGAATCGCCAGATCAGACTGCTAGAGGCATTGATGAGAAAGAGCGAGGAGCTCGAAGCTGCTTACAAGGAAGCGAAGAAGGATCTTGAAAAGACTGAGGAGAGACTCTCACCGCAGCAAGAGGCTGCGAGGAAGAGGATTGCTGAGATACAGGCGGAGATCAAGATGTTGCCTGCGCGACATGAGTACATGAACAAGAAGAAGGATTGCGAAACCATGGAGATACAAGTCAACGATCTGGTTGCAACTCTGGATGACATTCAGAGGGTCATGAAGGAGGTCTCGCAGATCAGCAAGGATGTTGTGAATACTCTGAAGAAGGGAATTCCGCGCGTCACCAAGATCATCGTCAGGGCTAGCAACAGGGCCTTTGTGGAGGATAAACCTCTGATGTTTGAGATTCAAGCCGTGTGGATGGACCAACAGGAGACGTTCCGCATTGAGTGGGCGCCAGATCAGGGAATTTCGGTTCTTTACTCACAGGCTGCTGAGAAGTTAGCGACTTGGGGACATGAGGACGAACCCCCTGCTCTACCTGGTCCGACACCGCAACCAGACCCCGCGCCACAAGATCCAAAGCCAGAACCAAAGCCAAAGCCAGAGCCTGAGCGAGAGCCTCAAGATGCAGACCACAAAGGGGAGATACATCTGATTCACCGCGGCGCAAATCACGACGAAGATTGGCCATACTGGAGCACCTTTGATGGCCAGACTTGGAGCAAGGATTACAAGGTTTGGTCCTATGGACTGCACATCGCTGATGGCTTCTGCCTAGCTTCGTTCCAGAAGAAGCTCTTCATCTTCCATCTCAGCCCCCGAGGCAAGTCACAAGTGTTTTACGAGTCACACGTATCAGGAAATGAATGGACGAGAGGAGGAATCACGGCCATTCCGAATACCGCATCCTCACCGGGTATGTGTGCCGTTACATTCAGGGGCAAACTCTACCTCTTCCACCATGGAGTTCCTCAAGAGAAACTTCGATACAATGTCTTCAACGGTCAAACTTGGGCAGGTGACACTGATATCAACATCGGCGACGTCAAGGTGGGCTTTACGGCTGTTGTGTTTAACGACAAGATATACCTGTTCTATCTTCCCAAATACGGCGTCGCCTCCCAGAGGTTTGCTTACGTTACCTTTGACGGAGCGCGTTGGGAAGAGGTGAGGACCGTTGGTAAGCAAGCGACATCTGGTGTTACGGCAGCGGTTTATCAGAACAAGCTGTATCTGATACATCGAGGATACGGCATGGCTTACGGTAGGAAGCTGTGGTATAATGTATTTGATGGAAAACGTTGGATGAAACTTTCTATGAGGACCACAGCCTTGCTCATACCGGACTGCAATCATCTCGAAGGGGATATTAGTTCCGTTGTGTATGAGAAGTGTATATATTTGTTTTATAAGAAGGTGGGTGATTCGGGCGTGTATACACATGTATTCGATGGGAGTCAGTGGGTTGCGGGACAGGTGGAGGGGGTTCAGACTGTAGAAGGAGTGGCTAGTGTTGTTCATTAGTTATCTTGAGAATGGCAGTGCTGAACTTAGAATAGTTTGGGGTGAGATACTTGCATTCTGGACGATAAATCATGAAACTCGATCTATAGTTACCTATGGACGCCAGGACATCAGCGGATATGACATGGTGTTGTGGCGCTTAGTGACTGACATCAGACTGGGCTGCAGGCAATCTATCGCCCGGTCCATGGTCTGTTTCGCCACGGGGTTCGCTATGGGTTGGAGTAACATGGCCAGCTGAAAAGAAATACAAGCCCTATTTTGATGCGAATTAGTAATAATGCTCCCTAGAGCGAGAGCAACTTACTTAGTGAAGCATATGCTCTAGCAGGATATCAGTCTTCCATTCATAGACTAACTTCTGTCTGATCATTTAAGCTCCCAACCACGAGCCTTAACTGCAAATGAACAGTATGTATTTTGTATATTGCAGCATTCGTACAGACTCAAGCAACTTGCGATCAAACTTGCATGAGGTGCGCAATTTGGTGCAGGACTACTCATGCTTTCCACAGAGCCGAGAGCTCGTGACAATAGCCACTGGTATCTTATCCAGGGTTGCTGCATGCGGTTTGGGTAACATGATGCCGGCGCTCGACGGTCTTCCTAGAATAAAGCTAACAGCGGCATTTATGAAACATAAGTTCATCGAAACATTGGTTTCCTCCTCGTTATAGTAGGTTGTCGCGAGTTGCCGATGTAAACCAAGTGCATGAGCACACATGACTACATGGACCCGGTGGGTAGGTGGGTTTGCTGATCGCAGAGCAATGCGTAGAAAGCCATAAGCAGAGAAGGGGTAGCATGGAAACAGTTGGTAAGAAGACGGTCTTTAGCAAGATGTTGCCGCACAGCCTGACTGTAAGCGTCGCTAATCATGTCAGCCCGATAAGCAACTTCTGAAAATAGGCTAGCTTGTATTTACAGGCAATACGGGAATTCATGAGTTGTCGCTGTACTCGAGGGATTTATTTACATATCGCTAATAAAGCGTAGTTAGCCCTGTTCGCGGCAAGATCGGAACAGAACTCGTAGTCATTGGGTGTCAACGGATTGTTAGGTATTTAAAGAAGGTGAGCGTGCCTAATTCGAGACTTTTTAGACAGCTATGGCTTCCAAATCTACGAATCTCCATGTTACAACAAATCCATACATATTAGGATGCAAGTTTTAGTTCTTGGATTGCCCCGGACGGGGACACAATGTAAGTCTCCATGCAAACGCTTATTGCTCTGCCTGCGACTTATTTAACATTACAGCCCTCACTGATGCACTGGCAATACTCGGCATCTCTCCGATCTACCACATGCGCGAAGTGGGCAAAAATAACCACGCGGATCTTTGGACAGCCCTTATTCATGAAAAGTTCGGTACAGATGGTTCCTCACACCCAACAGATCTTCTCACAATACTGTCAAATTATAAAGGTGTCTCCGACTACCCCGCGGCCATATTCGTCGACGAACTGCTCGCAGCCTTCCCTGAAGCTGCCGTCATTTTGACTGTGAGGTCAGAAGATTCACGGGCCAAGAGCATGAAGGAAACTATCGTGCACTATCTTGATAATCGGGTGATTGACGAAACAACTCCCATGGCGGTTATGGCTAGAACCTACAGCATGTTCTGTTGGAATGATGACTTTGAGAAGAATGGTCTGGATCTTTTTCGACGACACAATGAGCAAGTGAGATGGGCAGCTAAGGAGAGAGAGTTTCTAGAGTATACAGTAGGTGATGGCTGGGAGCCATTATGTGCTTTTCTCAAGGTACCTGTCCCTGGGAATATACCTTTTCCTAGAAAGGACGATTGGTTAGAATATAAGAAGCAGATACATAAGTAAGAGATACTGTTTGCCACAGAATCGACGGGCTAGTGCTGTTCATGAGTTATCTTGAGAATGACAGTTCTGGACTCTGAATAGTTTAGGCAAAGAGACTTACATTGGACTATCAATCATCTGACCTGAATCATCCATTTTCTATCTCTAAGTGGTACCCGCCGAAGTATTGGGCCAACAGGCGTTGACCATTTTCTGCAGCGGATGTCATTGAGGCCTTTTTCGACTCAAACTCTAAGTATGGCAATGATAGCTGCCTAGAGAAGGCAAGAATACTCCGGACCTTGATTATAGATGACAAAGATACTTAGGCAAGTCAGGCTAAGTATTAGGGTTTCTTTTGCTGAGTTTATTCTGACATCCTGTATTTGTGTTTTATCTTTTTCTTCGCTTCCCGAGGTTGCAGCAACGAGATGTGCCGCATTGCCGGTCAAAGCGCAATATCGAAAGATTTGCCGCACATTCATTCGGTCAGCATGTTCCATTTCCCACGCAGCCCGGCACATTCGTTCCGAAATAAACTCAAAATCGGGGGCCGGAGGTAGCCAACGCTTGAAGAGTCTAAAGAGTCCAATACTAGGGAAATTCGCGTGTCTTGTTAAGCTTACAGCGCGCTTAGCTATATACTCCATCTTCTGCGATTAAGCGCGTGTTTCCGTCTTTTGAGTAATAGCGACTTACTATGGGCTGGTTATTAGGATACAGAAGGGTGAATTATCAGGAAGGTTTTGTGTGTTGTTTGTACTCACTAGAGCCAACAGTTATCACATGTGGCTTGTGAATTGTTCCGTGTCATCCGGCCCCCCGCATGAAAACCCTTGTCCAATGCATTTATATACAACCAACAACCAACAACTAGAGCCAACAACCAACACAATCAGCTTTCTCATCCTTGAAAATTCGAAATTGCAAGCCAAAGCCACGAACACGAGAGAGCCTCGGGAAACCAGCAACGAGCAAAAAGCCAGACGAATTTCAGATATAAAAGGGCCCTCCGACTCCCTCAAGACATACATCCGACCACCTGCCATGGAGACTATGGGAGATATTCAGTTTCTACTCCTCATCTTTGTTATAGACGCCGCTGCAGTCGTAATCCGCATTTCATCAGGAACATGGTCAACCCCAGCAAAACTTGGGTTGCTTACCTCGCACTTGGCTTTGTTGAACCGAGTCTTGGGCTGTATGACAAGCAGAATCAACGCGTAAGCTACGTTCCCCTTGTCAAGCAATGGAACGGCCCAGACTCGAACCTCACCGCAACCCTGCACCTCGTTGATTCTAGCTACGTCTCTGCCTTTGAGAAACGTCGCCATATCGACCTTCAGACGTGGGCTACGGTGGTCGGGGCTGGTAGCGCTACCATTATGGCTTCCGAGTCAGCAGTCAATATCTACAAACAGATTGCCGACATTATCAAGAGCAAGTCTAACCACAATTCTTGCTCCATGACGACAGGCACCGACTCGAATGGTCATATGATTGAGGGTTATGCATATTTGGCGACTACCAGTGGCCATGATTGCAAGACTACGGCCGAGACGAAGACTATCCTAGCTGCGGTGAAGGACTGTGCCGATTGGCAGCATAAGCATGGGGCTATCACTGGCTGTTGCGTGCTTGATCACGGCGGCACTTGGAAGGGTCATTTGCGCCTTACTTCTCAGCCTAACAAGTACCCAGCACATACGGTGAACTGTGGTTAGGAAGCTAGTTGGGTCAGTAAAGCTCCGTGGGCAAAGCCTAACTTGCTTTCGTCGTGGACTATGGTTGGGATTGGTGGAGAGTTTCCTAGGGCAGATACAGATGCTAGATCATTCGTTTGTTTGTTTCTAAGGTAGTCAGTCAGTTGATGTTAATACTTTCCTTCATATAACTAGAAAACAAAATAAAACAAGTTGCTTGGTCAATCACGCAGCCTCCAGTGACATTGAACAATAGCAATGCATGACCTGGCAGAGCATCTTGAATGGTCCCGACATGATGAGATGCAAGAAGTGAAGCATAACAAGTCTTGAACAAACACTTGCTTGGCACGATTTACACTGGGCTGTATATCTATACTCCCCATCTTCAATAGAAAGCCTTAGCGTCGCTTGGTAAGATACCTGCGGAATGGAAAGGTGACAGGTAAGCTGAAGGGCTGCCCAAGATGTTCCAAACCCATATCGATAGAGAGCTTCGCGCAGCTCATAACGAGGTAAGGCGCGCGATGCAAGCATCAGCTGTCAGGACTATCGAATCAAGATCATACTTCAGAAAGCATGGAACCACTCGAACAAGAATCATTGAAAGGAGCAAGAGAAGGTAGACAGTAGGTGTAAGATGTAACTTCCAAGTAAGCTGCTTGATATAATCTCCTAAAGACTCCTATGTATCCCGTCTAATTCTCATCTGGCGGAGGCATTTGACAAGAGCAGAGAGGAAATTCCAAGAGGCTAGTTCCTTCATATCAACAGACACAGCCATTGACTCGATTTGAGAGCTCACTTATGTCCATGCCCGAGCTTCTCTGCGATAGCTAGTCAGTGAGTGTTCATCATTGGTAAAAGAGGCACTTACCGGTGATAGTATAGGTGATAATGCAGTTGTTCCCGTCTCCACCACTGCTGGAGACATTGAACTGATTGGGGACAGAAGGGTGGTACGAATTATCACCAACATAAGGATTATCGAAGTCAAACTGCAGGTTACCGGCCGCAGACGTGTAGATAACATAGCCTTGATCACCGCTCATGATGCCGTCGGATTCAGCTCTCATAGTACCGGATTGTCCCTTGGGAATAGTATCGGGAATGTTTTCGCTCCATATGCCGTGGTCCAGACCGCCGTGGCCGCCGTGAAAGTCCTGGCTGGTGTGGTTTTCAATGGTGATTTGTGTAGAGCGGGCAGGCATTTTGTGAGTGTTAATAGAGAGGATATAAGGTATTGTAAGTAATGTGTGTAAAAGTGAGCTATTTGAAGACTGAGTTGCTGAGTACTTCAAGAGAGAGAAATACTGACTCTATATATACAGTTCAGTTGGAGATAGGTGACGTGAGCTTCTACACTGTTGGACGCTCAAGATCTGCTTTCCTAAGCTACTGCTTGGAGAGAAATGTAAATGGAAAGCTTAACGAAGTCTCGACTCTTGTGAATTGTATCACAAGACGTCAAGCCAATAGCTTATCAGGCTCGTATTCAGACTCCTGATTCGTGGCATTTTGAGTTGCCGTAACAACAGAGGAACTAGTCGTTCATTGCCAAATGGTAGGAGAGATAGCATGCAGCTTGAATTGCCGTTTTCATATGAGGCGAAAAGCCACAATTTGGATACGTGGCTGTTGGAGAAACCTTGAGGGCCGCACACCCGCCGAAACGATGCGCCACGTTAATCAATATCATCCGTTTTGATGCAAGAGGTCAATTTCTATAGGCTTGCGTTCCAATTTATCTCTCATCTATTCTACTTCTGTAACACAGGACGTATACTGCAGTCTCAAAGGCATTAACTTCCCCGCACGTCCAGATCACAGTGGAGGCAAGTCTTGGTATTTGAGAGCTATACTACAGCAACCCTATTTATTGTGGCTTGCTAAGTCTATACTCACGAGGTAATAGTGGCACAGATCAAGTAGGTCTGGATAGCCCCATACTGATAATAATAAAGAGCTATTTACATTTCCTATATTTTGTCTATAATTAATTCTAAAGAAGATATAGTATTTCAAAAATATATAAAGTATCTTTATCCATAGTTTTCTAATCAAACCTTGCCAAGTTAATGTAACACTATGTATTTTAGTAAAACATACAGGCCAATGTTTTAATTATTCATAACTAATAAGCATTCCATTGTCGTAATTACTAGGTAAAGATTAACCCGAACCACATCTTAATACGTACATTGATAACCCCATTGGATCTAAGTTCTGTCCGCTGATTTAAGCTCTCAGCCACGAGCCTCAACTGCAGGGTCAATCTAGCTATAATACTTTCTCCCTTAGTATTAAGTAAACAGTAGATAGTTACTAGTCTTCAGGGTAGAGTTTACTTCTGACCTTTACTTGCATTATCTATCCTTGAAGGTGAGTTTAGTGTGTGATTGAAGCGCGAAAGAAGTGATTGCCTCCTTCAGGCTGCTGAGTACCTGGTCGCTCGACATGAGATTGAGCAACTCCAGGGCCATGGAACATTTGACCATCTATATTTTCAATATCAATTTCACCAAATGATAAATTACCCCAGGTGCCTCTTTGACTGCTTCTCTTTATGGAGATGGTTTGGGGAGACCCGGATGGCATCGCGATATGTATCTTGAAGAAGGTGGAGCTTGGAGAAAGGGGATGTTCGGCAAAGACGTAGGATGCACGTAGGACGAGAGATAGTCGAACGCGCGGCAAAGAATGATCAACAGAGCCATAAAGAGAGTAGAGTGATCCAGCCATCTGCAAAACTTTATACCCGATGCAATGAGTCTACGAGATCTACCCCGCATCTGTCATTCCAAACATATAAGCCACAAGGGCAACTTAATTGACCAGTTAAATCTCGACGACATGTTCGACATAGCCTGGTTCTAGAAAAACGGCCCAAGCCTATCTTAACATCAGGAAAGGCTGGAGAGTTACATACTCCACTCGGAAGCAATCCAGACTGCTCTAGGCCTAGATACACCCAAGCCACTATGGAAGCATGTGAAGTTAATCGCTTCACATCAGATTTGCCTAGGTTTATGCGGTTCCACGCGTACTTACAAGTGACAAGAGCTGTTGAGGTTATCTGTCAATTGCGTATGTATTTTGTCTACTGTAGCTTACTATTCTATGTCTGCTTTCGGCTGTTCGGGCCGTGGACTTGTTTCATCTGGACTCTCCCTTTGAGGATCAATCTGATGAACTGGGATTATTATACATTTATACATCAATTTTGAGCGCAGTGTAGGTTAATCGCAGCCAATCGAGTCCGATTCTCCTGCTAAAATGTGAAGCATTCTGCTCTAATTCCCCTCTGAGTATGACCTCCGCAAGCTGCCGTTCCCTTTAGAAGAAATCTTATAGACTTGTAATACTGCATTTGGTGTCATGAGGGTAGGGCGTTGAGACGGTGCAGGGTAGTGATAGCTAGGGCAGTGACTTGTACTTATGTAGGCAGGCAGGTAGAGAGATATTAAAATTTCGCTTTTAAAGCCGAAATGGCTGCGCATAGTGCTTCTCCAGGCCTTGTGAAATGGAAAGAGATGGAGTTAACACTGTGAGGGATAGCGGTGAATCTACTTCTTCAAGAAGCTTTGCTGTCAAAACTGTATAACAAATAGACTCACGAAGATCAAGGGGTGTTTTGTATATATCCTACAGCCGTTAGTGGTTACATACATTGACATTGTTAAATCCTGTTAGCCCCTACGTTGTGTAGATGAAGACCTCTAGCTAAGATCCTTCAGACTGCGATCTGGTACAAAGATCTGCCGATCTAAGGCCCGGCCCCCCCTTTTGTGGGCCTACTTGAAGTGGATACCAATCTGGCCAGAATGTGACATTGGGTCCTTGTTTATTGGCCAGACTTTAGTCACATGCTCATCAGCAAGGGCCGCCATCAGCGATAAGCGTTTAGATAAGAAGAGCCCTGTCCTCTATGCCTGATTCACAGAATATTCTCTCAATACAGCGTGAAATTTACCGTATTTGCGGGGGTACTAATGCTCAGCTGAGCCTTTTTCTACAATAGCTACAAGCTAAGAACATAGAGGCGTCGACTAGTGCCAAATTAATCTTTATCTCTGCCAGGTTTTTCGCTTAGAAGGCAAGTGCCGAGCAATCCCTGGTGGTCCCGTTCATGATTAATAAAAAGCTATACTTTCCTTTTACATTCCTGTATCTTGACTACACCATTGGCATACCTGCAACGCCGTGGCTGGGAATTACTACGAGTATCAAAGTCTAGCTTTGTTATGCACATGGACAGCCAGCAGAGTCCAGCCTGTAAGGGAGCACGATATCCAACTAAACATCGTCGGCATTACCCTCGGTCGAGATCTGGCTGTCTTGTCTGTCGCACAAGACACAAAAAGTGTGACGAGACAAAGCCTTCCTGCCACTATTGTGTTCGAACTGCCCAAATTTGTATTTGGCCCGACGGAGATAGACTTGATAGGGGACAACCGCAAAATTGCTTTGATGAGGGTTCAGACACGAACTCTACTAGCGATAGTGTATCGGCAATCACGAAGTCTGGTCTCTTTACGGTATGTTGCCGACACTAACATATCATGTCTCCTGTGTATCAACTGATTATTTCTATAGCCAGCGTCCTCACAAACACAGATACTAAAAAGATTTTTCTTCGACTGGTCGACTCACGCAAATATCCCACTTGGACAGACTCTAGCTTGGTATAGCCGCCTTCCTGAGATATATCTCAACTCCAGCATAGACGGCCTGCTACACAAGTCCGTCAATGCACTAGCCAATGCTAGCTATGGACAGAGATTTAACTCTTATCGAGCACTAAAGGATGCAGCCAAGCTATATGGAGAGTCGATACACATGCTGAGAGATAAGATGCATGACCTTGTTGACCCGTCTCGCTACTGCGAAGTTATGAACTCCATTATGGTGCTTGGAATATATGAGGTAAGCGGCAATAAATTGATTGGCTGTGCGTCACTATCGAAAGGTTGTTTGCTGATTTCTTTTAGGGCCTGGTAGATGAGTCTATCGCGCTTGAAGGCTCTTGGGTGTCCCATATCAGCGGAGGCTGTACCTTGTTAGATTTACGAGGGCAAGACAAAATCATAGACTCTCCCGCAGAGTATGAGGTATCTATCTTCATTTTTATGCAAATGGTACATCCACCCTTCCGTATTTACTTTGTGTGTAAGTAATAACTCTTATATTACTGTAGATTCACATTGGCCTTGTAACTGGACAAGGACTTTCGATACCATGGGCATCGGTAAAGGAACTATGTTTACCAAGGTTGTCCTACTTCTACACGCACACACATCTGATCTACCAGTCTGCATGTCTTTGCGTGGAATGGAGAACCGCGTTGTTGACTTACAAGGCGGATCAAGATATCACACAACTATCTGCCATTGCGTCTCAGGCCTTGGCTTTAGATAAGCAGCTTGAGGAGTGGGCCAAGTGTATGCCTCCTTCTGCGAAATATGTGGTTGTTGATATGTTGACCGATACCCAACTTGAGTGGTTGAGACCTTTACTCTATACACCGTGGAGGCCTCTCAATTTGCATACATACTCATCGCTTTCACACCAGGTCCTGTGGAGGTTCTATTGGATGGTTCGAGCTATCCTCAACCAAGCCCTTTTGTTCACCAACAGCATCTTTGAACAAAGCAAAGAGACGCCTAATCCTGTTCTCTGCCAAGCCGAAACGGAATCTAAGCTCATTTCGTTTACCGACAGCTTATGTGAATCTTGCCTCTCGACTTTTGTGAACATCGTCAAGCAAGATCCACAATATTACAGAGCCGAAGCTATCCCAAGTCTGTTAGGGTACGTCAGCCTACAGGTTTTGCCCACTCTCGGTTTATGCCTCGAGCAAGTTAATATCATTGGTATCGACCTGTCGGGGAGAAGAGAATGGGTAGCCAGGATGAGGCATTTTCTTCGGGCTAATCTTGGGATTGCAAAAGGTGCAACAGCAATACCTCCATCTCTGAACAGTCATATTCCAATTCAGATTTGGGGGGGTTCCTAAGAGCGCACCTCTGCTTTTAGGTATGTCTACTAGGTAGAGTTAAATCAAAGCATAAACTAAGAATTAAGCATAAAGAATAAGATTTTATAAAGTTATATGGATAATAAGAGAGAAGGATAAATACTCTGGTATAATTACTAGCTGGATAAATTTTTTCTGTTAAGCATCAATTAAAAGAAAACTCTGACTCGCTGTTTATGTAATGCAATATCCACTTCGCGTTCAAACCAAACCATAATGATGGTACTTTTGGTTTTTGCTACCATCAACCAACAGCTTGTTACATCAAAAAGGGTCGTGAACTGCGCTAGACAGGGATTGAGCTCGGTCGCAGTGTTTGTTCAACCGACTTGGCGTCCTTGGCCCCAAGTTACAATTTTAATTCAGAGGTCCTATTGGCAGGCCCATTAAAACAATGCGAATGACACATGATTCTGCCGTGGTCACGATCATGGGCCATCCTTCATCCTCTCTACCCATAAAGCGAGCGAAGCCGCCCTTTGCAGAAAGGTTTTACGAGAGCGATTATTCCATTCTTTCCTTTCCAAGCCCTTCAATTTCACTCTTTTAATTGCTGGGTCACTGACTAACTATACAATGAAGTCATCCACGCTCTTTCTCACTTCTCACCTCCTTTGGACCGCGAACGCCTTCCTTGCATATAAGGAATATGCGGTAAAGCGATTGGTGGAGGAGTACGACTTACCTGAGGCTTGCGCAAAGGTCATGCTCACAGACATCGACTGCGATGCTAGTCTCGATGACGCGGGAAGTACCGGATGGCAGGGCTCGATTGAAGAGGGTGATGACTTCACAATCACTGATAGCATCTGCGCCAAAAAATGCGGCGACTCCCTGCAAAAGTGGACCGCATCGTTTGCCAAATACTGTGAGCCAGAGGGATACCGCCCGGGCAATATGGTTGAGGGTCGACGACAGATCTGCGACAAGGATGCTAAGACGGGAAAATACTGCAACGGTGCGTAAAAAAATCATTCGTGGTATATAATACTAATTCCCTTCTTTCAGCTATCATAGATTCGTTCCCTGAGACGGACGATGATGAAGAACTTCCTGCCAAATACCTCTGCGAGCCTTGTTACGTCCGCCGCCTCTGGGGATTCGACATCAGCAATTACAGCCCCGCCAACAGTTGGATCGTCACCCAACGGGAGCGTATGGACAAGCTATGCCCCAAGTCGGTGCTAGTTGAGAAAAAGGCGTCAACTATTCTACCGCACACGGGTACGATGGCGCAGCCTTGGTTAGAGTCCACGGAAACTCCGAGCGTTGTCAAAAGTGAAGTTGAGACCACTCCAACTCCGGAGAGTACCGAAACCGCATCACCAACAACCATTGCAGTATCTTCTACCACTGCGCCAGTTGAGAGCAACGCGGCTGAGAGCCTTGGAAACGGTCAGCTGAGAGGCCAATGGGCATCATTGCTTCTTTTGGGGATGAATGTCTTGTATCTATAAGCTTTGGGCTTGATGTTTTCCTTGTCAAGGTAGCATGGCTAGTTGATCTCTTAGTCTCCTCCTGTCATAGTTGGAATATCGCTTGCTGTATAGTTGACATCTGTTCAATAGAAGTTACTGCGATATGTCATTCGTGAAAGATAGACATAGGATGCATTAATTGAATACAGGCGTTGAAAGTCTCCCTGGGCAACAGTTCGTATTCGCTTCTTTTGAGTCCTAAAATATGCGTAGGTCCAACGTTACAACTGATAAATATCCGAGATTAGGCTCAACCTTCCTGCTTATATTGGGGGCCAAAACAACATGGCACGCTGTCCAATTCTCGCGTTGTTCTCACAGTGCAAGTCTCATCAGCCACTCACAGCTGGCAAAATCACAACCTGATTATGCACCTCGATCCAACTTTGCTTGGCAACTACGTCAGATGAAAGCGGCGGCAAGAAGCATAAGAACAAGGTTATCTAACGTACCCTCCCCGCTGTTCGAGCACTTTTATGTTCTCTCACTCTTATTGCATCGCAACTAAGAGCCGATGACGATGTCTCGCGAACGTGACCATGAACTGGAGACATTAGGGGATGTCGACATGGGGAATGGTTCTTCAACATCACTGGTACTGCTTTTTTCTTAACGACCTTGGAGCTACTCTAACCGAGAGCAGGTTGATGGACAAAGTATCTCAAGCTTGCCTAAAGCATCATGGCAAGGAGCGCGAATGGTCGATCAATCTGATGTTGATAAATTCCAGCAAACCGGGAACCTTTTCGACAATAAAAGGAAATCGAATCCTCCACCTTATTTTCCTGGTTCACCGACGACTTCTGGTAGCATATCAAAAAATTCGGCACGTAAAAGCAGCAGACTGTCAGCTTGTCGCTATTTTGCACTCGTGCATCTACCGCCCGTGGCAATAACCATGACCCTTTTGTCTCTCTACATTGCTCAAGTTCGCTGGGTGGACCCTTCGACTGAATCTCTTAACGGCCTTCAGTTTGCAGCCAAGGGTCACGAAACCCTCATCCTAGTGTCACTGGGAGACATTCTTCTGCACCAAATATCCTACGGCTTGAAGCGCCAAGATGTTGGTGTGCCGCTTGGCTTTTTGTCGTCTCCCTTGAATCTCTCAGCACCTTTGCGATATCTCATCAGTCGTCAGTTATGGGCTCCAGCGTTGCATTCTGGCAGGGCAGCTCAGTATCGACGGGCTACAACAGGGTTGATCATGTTGATATCCATACTGTGCCTTGCAGCAAGTCCACTGTCCGCCATTGCCATGATCCCTCGCCAGGATTGGTGGAAGGACCACCATTTTGACCCAACTTACAAATTCCTCCCCATATACGACCCCACCCAGTGGATCCCTCATATGGAATACAGAACAAGACTCGATGCAGAGTCTGGACCCTACCTGAGAGACATTATAGATCCCTCCACCATACCTTTACATACTCTCCTCAGGGCAGATTACCGTGCGGTTGGCACAGTTGGACCAGAAAATCAGAACATTTCGTATTCCAACTTCAACAAGTCTGAATTTTCGTACATTGCGACGGCGGATTATGGGGATTATGGGTTGCCTACAGTGGCTAATAGCCAATTATCATTCATCGCACTTGCGCTGGGAAACGCTTCTCCAAGAGACGTCAAAGGAATGACCACTGGGATATCATGGATTACCTCTTGCAAACAACAAGTTAATGGAACAGGAACTCAAAAGTCTTGGAAACAGCCTGTTGTCGCTGTGCAATGCCTCGGGGGCACAGTCCGTAATGAGAGCCTCTCATTTCATTTTTCTGCTTGGCAGTCGAACGATATGTCGACTCCTTTCCGAGTCTCCCTTAGTCTCAATGACTCTTCGGCTCTTGCGGATTTGCATAGTAGCAATTCCACCGACTATCGCTTCATCGACCTTCCAGTAAGTGAAGAATGGCTGGTGAGTGGCAACATACTGTTTGCCAATACTGCTCGAAATGAGGAAGACGATAAGCCTGAGCGTCACTATACACTCTGCCTAATATTTGCTCGTTGGGCAGAGGCTGATACATGGATCGAGCTCCCCCATTACTCGCGACCCTGGAGTCACTTCAACCCACTAGTAAAGTTCGATAGAAACTCCAGCGATGTTATCCATATGGATGGCAAGTGGTTGGAAGGCATCTCATCGTTCTCTAATGGGTCGTTCCTTCGTTCCATTGCAGACTATTGTGTAGCTGACGACAGACGGGAGTGTCAAGAGCGGTTTCTGGGTCTACATATCACAGACGCGATCTCTCAAGCGGGAAACAATGTCTCATGGCCCAACTACTTTGCAGGAATTACATCGTCAGATGACTCAACAAGAGACAAGGTAGCCTACACTCGATCTTACTACACGTACGCGTATCGCTTTGAAAGCAGCCACAGTATCCCATTGGCATTTTCTTTTCTTCTTCTGCATGTTTTATTAGTATCGATACACTTGATTACAATTCTTGTATCGAAGGATCCGTGGCAAGGCTCTGAATGGGACAATTTTGGAGACATGTTGGTTCTTGCTCTTGCATCCAAGCCGCCAGATGGCGTGCATGATTTAACTCAGCAATCTTCGAAATCTGAAATATGGAGGAAGGCTGTCACAGTTGCTCGCGATGGCGATGAGGGGCACCGCCGAATTTGTCTGGGAGAGGAAAAAGGGTATCAGAGAGCAAATGACGAGGAAGGAGGTCTTTGAGAAGAAATGAGTGTTATTTATATATTACATACATGCGCTAAAATGTGGACGGTGAAGAAGTGGGTGGTGAGATAAACGATAGAAGCTGGGCTTGAAAGCCGCCTACATATTCACATGTTTACCCAAGCTCAAGTTCAGTGGGCGTGGATAACCAAGGTAACGTTACGTGGTGATCTTACCCCTGTAAATGGGCGGCACGCCACGGCATAAACAGCTCCATACCAATTGATTACCGTGGTTCCAGCACTCGTCTATAAGACACAACACGTCCATCTAAAACCATTCTCGCACAAACACAGGCGTCTTTACTTTATTTACCCACAGACATTTCGTCAGCGTGCATAAATCAACATGGCCAATCCGAGCACTTTTGTTGAGCTGCCTACCGAAATCATTACCCAGGTCGTAACCGAGTTAGTCAACGACCCATATTCACAACTCCATAGGTTTGCGTTCGAATCATGGTATTAAAAGAAGCCATTTGAGCTTACCCTACTCAAAAGAAGCACAAGGCGTCAGCTTAAGAACAGAAGACTGACACATCGGCGGTTTGTCAATTTGGGCTGCATCAACGCTTTATTATTTGACTCCGTCCAGTTCGTGGCATCACGCGCAGGATTACTTAGTCTTCAAAAATGCGACGTATCACGCATTGCAAGCTTTGTATCTACTGTTACTTTTATTAATCCTCCAAGCTGGAAACTTCCTTTGGAGACTTTTGAGCAGATTCTGATCGAGACTACCCCCAAAGGCGAACCTCCGGTAAACGAGTCGCAGCTGGCTAGTGCCTATGCCTTGTACATACGCTGTGCGATAGACTCCAAGTTCTTGCTTCAAGAGCCAGAAAGTGAGCTTCGGAGCCTATGGACGAAAGCTTTTAAGCTTCTTGGTGGAAACTTACGGGCTGTTAGTCTGCTTAGCCTCCGGTGCGATAAGTTGCGCCAAGTCGACTACATTACCTCCCTCTGGAAAGCAGATGAAGGAGCATTCTGCCAGCTTGGCCCTCATCACCATACAGACAGGAGTGTGGAGTATGGCTGTCGATATGCCGCTGCTATTGCTGGTGACCTGCTATTTTCGACAGTCATATCGTGTCTATCAGCTTCTGGTATTGCCTTACCGCAGATCTCGATCAAGCATGCAATGACAGGAACCGTTGATTGCACCAAAGTGCCTGGGTGGGATTTTCTAAACTTTACCAAACTCGAAAAGGTTGAGTTTGGCCCAGACATTCCGCACAATGAACATGATTGGGCTAGTAAGACTGTTTTTCAGACTCTACCGTGCCCGAAAGTGGAAGAAATCGAGTCAAGTGCTTCCAAGATTGTCCATGAGTTGGTCGCCAAGTCCCAATCAACATTAAATACCCTTATTCTTGACGGAACTGGCGTTCTGGACTGGCCTACCCAGCCACCACTTTCCTCCTTGCCATCTCTTGAGAATTTAGACCATTCTTTCGATTCTGTCAATCCCATCAGATTTAGTTCACGGCTAAAGAACATGCCAAACCTGCGATATCTGAGACTCGGTGGTTTACGACTATCCAGGGGTCTTCTATTCGTCGAATGGCGCCATGTATTCGATGCTGTTCGAGACCACCCAAGTGTTGTAGGGCCACGCCCAAAAGGTCTCTCTGTAGAGTTTGAATCTATCAAGTCAGCTGATTGGACTAGTATGACATACAGAGGGGTGATTTGCCACAATAGCAGTATTGCTACGGAGAGGCATACTTATTGCACAGATCCTGAAGGGTTGATGGAGGAGAATTACTCTTTAGAGAAGCATTTCTACAACGAAATGCGATTTAAGGATAACCATGGACTACGATACTTGATGAACGATTGGGATGTTGGGATGGTGGAGACTGATTCAGATGAAGAAGGCAGTGAGAGTGAAGATTGGGATGAGGACAATGAAGAGGAGGAAGAACAAGATGAGGCATAGACAACAGAGTCTACGATGAAAGACTTGGAAATCATTAAAGTCTCTCATCTCCAACAGGCCTCATACAGTTATAACTCTTCAAGAGCGGCATCATGAATCTAGGGGTCACTTAAATTTATGCTGACCCCTAGATTCATGAACCTGTAGTTAAACATGATATAAACTTCGATTGATATCCACGAATCCAGGGAAATAGTATCTTCAAGATCTTCCCAACACTCACATCCTTGTGAAAGTCTCTAGTGTTGATATGGACATCGACAGGGTCAAACCAACGAGATTCAGGTGTTGATCCTCTACAAACCGCGCTTGATAACGAAACTCTTAGGTTGGCACTAATGTGACAGTTACCATCACCAGCAGCAGATATAGCCAAGTGGATTCTGGCTTGCCCAGAAAGCCAAGGGGGAGAATGTGTCGTCACCTTCTGTCGACCGTTCACTGAACATTCACTTCTTTTTTCATCAGGTCCAATTGCGGTAGTCTCCGAGTATTGTTGGGTTGACTCGTGTGAATGGGGTCTTTCAGCTGTAGCGGGGCTTCTGTAGGCAGCATCGAGCCATTCCCACCAAATACCCAATCAGCGTTCCTTTTGGAGAGGGTCCAATTTCCATGCTCGACCATGTTGGGCTTTTGAAAGCTGGCTCTATTTCTCTTCCTATATTATGGACCGCTCTTTCTTCCATTGGAACTCTGAGATATTTTACCTCAATCAAACATCAGAAATGCTGTCTGAATTGCGACAGGACAAGAGCAAGTTGCTCAACTTGCCCTCGGAGATTCTCGCCGAGATCGTCAAAGAACTGCGTTTCATCCACGTTCCTCTTAGCGCTGAGTACCCGTACGTAGACCAAGTAGATGTTATTAGCGCTTAGTACTAACTACGCTGTCCAGTAATGTCAAGATAGAGACAGAAACCCATGAGAACCTCAAGTCATTGAGATTGGCGCACAGAACATTCGCAGATAGCGATGCCTTGAACAGCATCCTCTTCAGCAACATCTACCTGGAGCCCACCCGTGCTAGCCTCACGAGTCTTCAGCGCGGTGACTTCTCGCGCGTGGCACAGTATGTCCATTCCGTCACGTTCACGACACCACCCAGCTGGGCGCTTCCCTACCAAGCGTATGAGAAGATCCTCCGCAGCTCACAGGAATCATGCGTGCTATTTTGGCCTGAAGGGTTGAAGTCTGCATATGATGCATACATGAGCGATGCTAAAGACACGCAGGCATTGCTTGAGGATTCAGAGGGTGAGCTTAAGCAAGCATGGACAGAGATTCTGAAGACTTTGGGAGACCGCCTCGAGAAGGTGAAGCTTCTAAGCTACAATTGTGAAAAAATTCGCCAGGTCAAGTATCTTGACGCGATCGGCAGGGAGGAAATGGGGATGCCGTGGCAGCTTCCACGGCATGACCATCAAGAAGATAAATGGGCGCATTTTGAGCTCCGCAATGAGAATTCCGAACCCACCGTCGAGTACCATTGTAAGCATGCTGCCGCCGTCGCAGGTGATAAACTCATCACCATGGTTTTCACATGCCTCGCAACATCGGGCATTGCTATCCCAAATCTCAACATTCAGCTGTTCATGACTGGTGGCGTCGAGTGCAAGGACATTACCGGCTGGGAAGACCTCGACTTCAGCAAGCTCAAGGTTCTCCACATCTCGCCCGAGATCCCTTCTGGTGAGAACGGTCTCGTCGAGCGTCATCTTTGGGGCATGTCAAACTCACACGCCGAGAAAATGAAGATCAAGGCTGGCGACTTTTGTCACGATCTGCTGGACAAGTGTCATTCCAGCATACAGCACTTCGCCTATGGCATAGATCAGGTCGGAAAAGGTGTTCTCTGCTGGCCAACTCGGAAGCCCAGCCACGACTTCCCGGAGCTTATTCACCTGACACAGAAGGGCAACATCTTCCCTCAGGCCCTTGCACACTGGCTTCTCCACTTGAAGAGTCTGCGACATCTCGAGGTATCTGGTAAAGTCTGCCGAGGACCAGCTGACATCGACTGGCGGTTTGTCTTCAGTGCGATACGCGAACATCCCAACGTATCAGGCGAAAACCCCAAGGGTCTTAGGGTTGATCTTGATAAGCTTCAAGTGGAAGGAATTCTTTCTTACAGTGGAGTTATTTGCAAGGACGCTAGCATTGCCTCGAAAAGACATGAGCGCGATATGAGTCTAGAGTACTGGCGGGATGTGAATTATGGTATGGAAGCTCACTTTTATGGCGAGATGCCTCTTGAAGAAAACAAGGCTCTGTTATACCGTATGGGCCAATGGGAACCAAGAGACGAGGAAGGTGACAGTGATTCTTGAGAATACGATAGCAGAGGGGCTTGTCAGATTACATTATTAGTCAAACACAAGCAGCTAACCCAGCCCCATTATGCTGAATGCGCCCAATCGCCTCGTCAATCCACTTGATCTCTCTGGAGAAATTCCGTGCTGACCTCGATAGACATGCTTTGACTACCAATAATGGTGATAGAACAACACCAGCGCCCATACCACGAAACTCTCCTTGTAAGAAATATTCCACTGACTGACAGATGTAGCGAGCTGATGTCTCTGGCCATAGCATGAAGTCTGAGGACTGGACTATATGTTGCATATGATTTATAGACGTGTAATCATTGCCTTTGCCTAACCGATCATCACCAGAAAGGCCTGTGGTGTCCTTGGTCTCGCCATGTATTAACCTGGTGCAGAGTAAAGAGATGCTGGCATGTATCAAGGTCTGCATCACCCAGTAAAGTACCATGGTCTCTGCTACATAGTAGGACGGAAACTGGAACGACACTGGGTAGAGTCTACCCAGCTCCTCGCTGTCTGTCGAGCTGCTGGCTGTGGACAACTCTGGCCAGTAAAGCGTCGGATAGGTATATTGATATGACTCGAACCATTGACTGAGTTGTCCATCGAGGGCTAGTAGACCGGTAAACGTTTTAAGGCCAGAAGTATACAAAGATTGAGTTAGCGGTGAAGATATAACCGCTCTGCTTCTGGATAAATGTTCCGGAACTTGAAGAAAGATATCGAGAAGTAGGTCGTGCATAGTCTTGGATTTCGATATCCATGGTCCTTCCATCCATGATGGCTTGGCTAATTGACCACCATAACCCTGGGCCAGACCTTGAAACGCCTACTTGAAGTCAGAACATTGTACGGCCATTGTACGAATTACCTTACAGTATGCATCCTCAGTACTTGGAAGACATCGTGCGCCAGGCCACCGATGTGCTGCTCGGGCCCACGAAGTTGCAAGAGTGCCATGGCCCCCTGATAATGCCTCATGTATGCGCTGACGCTTCGTCCTGGACACTCTGCGAACTCAAACATACCGAGAAAGACGCAAGCTGCAAGAGTTTGGTCATCTAATCTCATCTTGGGATCATCAATCGCTTTTTGTAGCTCATACAGTCCTCTAGTGTATAGCTTTAGGCTCTGGCCGCCAGAGGAGCCATCTCCCTCCAAGGCCGCAGTGCTGAGAGATAGGATGGCATACTCCATGGCCGGAGTCAGTGATGCGATGTCGGGTAATCGAAGGAGCCATTTGCGATGATCGTTGAGATGACCTGAGGCGAGGATACAGGATGGTAGTTGACGGTCGATGAAATTAGCCAAGAACTGATCTCTGGTTACATTACGTGCTGATACGGCCTGTGGCAACACTGCAATCGTATATTGTCAGTCAATATACCCATGATGGCGCCGCGAAAGAGATAAAGGGGCATATAAGGTTCTTGCTTTGCTATCAGAAGACTGTGTGTAATGCGACGGAATAAATATCTGTGTTCTCTGATAGCCTGCACAGGAACGGCCGGACTTGCGGCACTTATCGCAACTCGGCCTTTCAGCGCCACACTTTGAGAAGATGATCCAGTCAGCTCCAGGTCTGTCAATCGGAGGGCGCATGATGTAGATCGCAAGGATGGTTGATTCGACGTACCCTGATTCTCCTCTGCCTGCAGGTGTGGCACGCTTTAGATCGCCCTGCCACTCCAACCATGTTCTTCGTAGCTGGAGTCAGTAGAAAGACTCCTCCAATTTTGACATTGCCGAGATTTGCATCGTCTGAGTTCAATTGCCCTTGAATGATCGTCAAAACGGAGTCCTTAATAGTGGATCAAGCTGAAGTTGAAGTCTGGCCAATGATCGTGGGTTAGGAATGAAGTTCACGCCAAGGCTAAGCCATCTTGGGGATCATTGCGCGAGAAATGGGGCCCACGATGCGGCTGAGTTTCCTCGAGATGCCGATTCCCGGCAGTCATAGCGCTATCACTTTTTGGGTATCATGCCGCGAGTCTTGATGGCTATGCGAAAATGCCGTTTGCTTTAGAGCCCCTTTGCGAGCGACTATAAAGGTAGAATGTTCGTCTCGTATGATAAAGATGCATTTCCTACTGCACAGCAATCTAAAGTCCCTATATCTTCCACCATGATCAATCCACATACTTCTGTTGGCACCGCCCAGGTCGTGTTCTACGCCCTTGTCTTGCCCGTCGCCGTCTTCATCCTTGTCAGGAACTGGAAGCATGGGCTTCGTCTTGCCTCATACCCTCTCGTCACGTTCTCTTTGGGTAGGTGGCTCGCCTTACTGCCTTGAGTAATCCTTATGCTAACAATTGGCTCTCTAAGCTCGACTCGCTGGCGGCATCTTAACCATACTCCGTCAATCCGACCCTACCAGTATCGGACTTATCATCGCGACTACGGTGCTCCTCAATGTCGGCCTTATTCCATTGATGATCTCCATGGTGGGGTTCATCCGTTTGATGTGAGCAAACATCCCTCATCACCAAGGTATATGCTAATTTTTGCAGCATGAAATCGAGCCTCGACGAGAACAAACGAGCTTTCGTCCTGTTGAAGATCATCCGGCTTGCGTTCATTGCCGCTATCGTGCTTCTCTGTGTGGCTGGGGCCTTTAGCGGAACTAACATACACCTTTCAAGACATTTGACGCAAGCTGGCTATGTGACTCTGGCTGCTGTCATCGGTTTGATGACAATCGAGTTACTTCACCTCTACACACAAAAGCATCGCATCGCGCCCGAGAAACACATTGTACGCTCACTTATTATCCAATGTCTATAGATGATCATATTGACATGAGGTAGTTCATCCAGCTTACCCTGGCAAGCATTCCGACACTTGTCCTCCGAACAGTCTATGGACTTCTTTGCGCTTTCACGGTTGATAATGTAACGACTATCTGGAATTCACTGGTTGGATCAGCTGTGGCGTTTGCTCTAATGTGCCTTCTTGCTGAGTATATCACCCTTCTGATCTTTCTGTATCTTGGGATCCGCCATTGGCGAAATGTGTGCGCTAAGAGCCTGGGAAGTGTCGAGATGGAATCCTTGAGCAAGTGAAGAGCGCTTGGGACGAATGAGCATGTGAAGGAGGGTATTCAGTTTGTACTGTATATTTCATACTGTTTGGAAGGAATATGACTCTTTCATTACTTCAAGACGTTCAACTTGCTTAAGCCACTCTATTGATTGATTAGTAGTTAATTCAAGGGTCAAAGTCCACAGTGGCATTTATGCGAATACCAACAAGTAGAACCAAGTCCGATCTCTCTAATCCTACTAGCCCATGTCTACTCCCCCTTCTCCTGCGAATCCACCTTTGTCCTTTTTGCAAGGTGCTTGAAGTACAAGCAAAGAACAGCGACTGATACTGATACAGCTCCACCTAACATGGTAACACCAGAGAATACTTTGGGGTACATATAATTACCTTCACTAGCCTCAACGATGGCACTTGCAATAGGACTGCTAGCAAGAACACCAACAGAGATACAGAAATAGAGTATGCCGGTGCGATGTCCAATATCTGAAGGCGGCGACACCTCAGCCACAAGAGCTGGAGTTAACGAGATGTAGCAACCGGAAAAGAAGTCAAAAAACGCCGAGTAGCAGAGCAATGCTGCACTCGACTTGCCGGGAAGCCAAACTGTAGAGTCAGAATAGCTGACATGGTTGTGCATATCACCATCATGTTGAAACGTCCAAACTTTGTCGGGGAGAAAGCCTGGGAGGATACGACCAAAGACGCTAACAGCGTTGAGGATGACGATTGAGGAGATGGATAAGTCCCACGACATTCCAACTGACTGTGCTTCCGGAGGAATAACGTTGAATGGGAGGAACAATCCGAAGCCGAAACCCGTCAAGACCAAGCAGAGAAGCACGAATCTTCGGTCCTGCAATGGGATAATATAAGTTCAGAGCTTCAAAGGTATCGGGACATGAGGTCTGTTCCATCTAATTATCGGCAGCGCCGATAAGAATGATGGGATAGAAGCTTATATTGGCAAAAATGATATCGTGTTGTGAACTTGTGATTCATTATCTGTGTTCGCAGCCTGAAGCTTAACCTCGTAGGCAGCAATCGACTACAACCATACAGGCTCGGCATCTTCACAATTAAGGTTCATCACTAGAATTACCTGTGACCTCTGAGGTTTCGTGTTGGTAGTAGGTAAAGGGCTTTTTGTAATGATTCGGGACAATAAAAGGTGCTTTGAGTTATGCTTTTATGGTAAAGCTTCATATGGGGGAATGTGGCAGGCTCAAGCATATAAAGACCCGTCCCTGCTCGATTCTTCCTTTCCTAGCCAACATCCTTCCCATCGCCAGCCGTAGACATAGCTGATATCTTCTTGTCTACGTCATTTCCTCTCCAGCCACGACTACACATACAAGGTGCATAAGTGGTTAGAGCGACTCTTCTTGTCCAAGATTAAAGGTAAAGAACATTTACATTTATATGCATGCCCAATTCCTCCTTCACTGCGGACCCGATGCTTACATCTATTCACGTAGTTACACACAGGATCTATATCATTACGCAAACCAAGAAGCGACCAAGATCTGCCCGCCGTATAATCAATCCATACCATCTTCTGTCTCCACAGAGTCAGGCAAGTTTGAGTAACGCAGACGCGAAGCATCCGATCAAGTCGATCAACTTCTCAAATACGTACGCCCGACATGTTCGACCGCATTAGGCGCGCGATGATATGTCTAACGACCTCTGAGGAAATGGACATAAGAAAAAAGCTCGACGAAGTCATGGTGCGCCGCGCAATCAAAGAAGCACTGAAAAAGCAGAAACGACAGATTGCTGAAGAAGAGAAGGCAAGACGGAAACTCGAGAAAGAACGCCGTCGGATTGATAATCAGGCAAGAGAATTTTCCAAACACATAATCCATGGAAAGGAGCTTCCGGGGGCCCAAGCTTCTCAAGAAAAGCTGGTGCCAGCCGAAAGAAACCCCCCTTCAAAGTCTGTTGATCGGCTTTATTCTGAGTTTGAACCATGTTTTGTACCAGCGTCGCATAGACGTCGTCGCGACCAAGCATCGAATACAGTGTTATAGGCCAGGCGGAGAAGGTTACGGATCTCTTGTTTATGCGACCTGGTCGTGGGTTTATGGGGGAAGCAAGTCTTTAGAGCAACCAGTAGCAGGATTATGAGACTAAACCTTAGGGATTCCGAGTTTTCGTTCGTATAGTGGGACTCGGCCTCTCTCCTACGAACTTTTATGAGCTATTAGCACTATGATAGGATGTGGCCTTGAGATATACTTTCAGGCTCCAACTCTATGGCTTACACAGAAGACACGTTGTCGATTTGAACACAAAAGCACGTTAACCCCGCTCTCTTGAATTATCCTCTTCTTATCTGATTCCATCCGATCACACTCCACTTAATACACGTTCATGTAAAGATAAACCCTTGATTATGCTTCTTGCTGGTCACAAGGGAAATAAGATGCTACGGTCCTCTCCTCGCCAACTCTCGTCGCCTCAACCAGCACGACAGTCGCCAATATTCTCCCACACATCATACCATATTAAATAGCAGCTGCATTCCGCAAGCAGCCATAGGAGTCTAATTAATGCTGTCCCAAAACGCCCAGTCAATATCCGCAAACTCGAACCCAAACGGCTGCAGTTCAGTCTCTACGGGTCCATTCCGCCAGATCTCCTGTGAGGCAGTGACTTGATCTCCATTATCTGCAGTTGCCTTACCATCCAACTCGGCCAAGTCCTTCTCCAGCTTTGATACAAACCCTGGCTTCTGCATCTCAGCCAGACCTGGTTTCTGCCGGCACTCATACCATGTTGCAACTACCGACCTTGCAGCATGAGATTTTCGTCTGTCATCTTCAAGATCTGATATATGATCTGCTACGGCGTAGAGCTGAGAAAGTAGCGTCCAGGCTGATTTGATAAGGGCCACGTCTTTCAAGTTTGACATGTCGACCAAGATTCCAATGACTACGAATTTTATGAGCGGGATAGAACTAAACCAGACAGGGAGCTGCTACTTACAGGCGTACCAGACAAAGGAGCTTTCGGCAAGCCACATAAAGGGCTTTAGTTGAAGATTCGAATGAGAGACGACGATATACCGCATTCCCTGCATACAGGCATTAAAGTGCTCAACATGGCATTCATCATCACTATTCTGAGAGCGCATACGAGCTTCATGCAGTTTTCTCAATCGTAAGACGTTGACAACAGCCCGCGCAGAGATCTGTAGTATCGTATGTAACGGGTCAATGGGATCACAATACTGCAGAAAGTTTTCATTGAGCCCAGCCTCAAGGTCGTCGATAACGGGGTCGGCCAAACAACCTAGGAGAGACGAATCACCGACTGTAGCCTGGCTCGCTTGCGTCATTCTAAAGGTGCGCTGCCTCTCCATTTTCCAGTACGTAAACAGCGTATACGAGAAAGTTGTGAGACCAGTCCGTTCTTTTGGCGGTGTTGAGGAACTTGGATCAAGATCGTGGTCTTCGATGTTCAGAGGAAGTTTGACATCCCAGCCTACTCCAAAGGACAAGGGCGTGACGTTGTTTTTGAGTGAGAGAATTAGATCGAGGTGTTGGAGCTGCCACCATAGTCGGCGGCGTTCTTCTGTCTCAATGGGCGAAAGGCCTAGTACTGTGCCGTCGCGGTGCATGCCGAGTTGCTCTGCGCTTCGGGAGATGAGACCCATTAGAGTCCACATGCTGCGCGAAGTCAAGACATCGACGTTGGCTTTCTAGCAGAATGTTAGTCCATGGTAAGCGGGTTCTCGGAAGTTAACTCACAATGTACAGGCACAAAGCTTTCAAGGTTGAAATGCTATCAATGGCGAGTAGACTTATCCTCGAGAACGCCATGTCACATTGAACACGACACTCATTAGTCAAAGACGCTTTCGTGCGACCGAATAGATCTAAGCACTCTGTATTCGTCAAACTCGTAGCACCGAATAAACAAGTTGACAATATGAGAGCATGGTCGCCATTATCGAGTCTTCTCCACTTCTCAGCATCAGATAAAGCAGCTCTAAGATGGGTAAGCGTCCAGGTGAAGCTGATCTTGACAATTGGCTCTACACGCTCCATGAAGGAGTCCCAAAGTTTGAGGGCTTCTTCTTGTGGTATCGGGCAGAAGTCGAGTTTTTCTGAGAGGATGGTGTTGTCTCGCCATGGTGAGCCATGAAACGCGTGGGGGAGATGCTTTCCTGGTGATAAAGCTGAACCCCGAGGGTCAGATGCCTTAAAGTTTGGGATGGGGCCTTTGTAAAGACGTGAAACGTCGATCCAGGTATGCCATCCTTCACTGAAATTATTAAGGTCAGTTACACGATCATTATGCTGGAAACCTCTGGTTTGACCTACGATTCGTGGTAAACAGATTTTCCCTCTTCCTGCACAATAATCGGCGTCACAGCATGACTCCCATCGACAGGACTTGCTTTCTCACTCTTCCCTATTAATCGCCCAGGTGTGTCCGATAATGGATCACCACCAAGGGCCCTCACCGCCTCTTCCAATTTTTTAATCCTCTCAAAAGGCGAGACTTCAGGGTAAGTGCAAACATCATGCTTGCGACGCTTACAATTGGAACACGGCGGTTCTGCCCTGTCGCATTTGACCTTGCGCTTTGCACATGGTTCGCAGGCTTGAGGTCTCATTTTGGGCGATGTGATCTTCGTGGTGGTATCGAAGGTTGGTGATCGGTCGTGCTGAGATCCATGACGTTGTGTAATTAAAAGCTCGGGCGACCCCGCGAGTTTTTTTGGTGGTGAGATTGGTTAGCTCGGGCTCGGTACCGAGACCGAGATTTTGAAAATGATGTCTGATTGGTTGAGGGGCATGATCCTTGACGATCTGGCCAGGGGATATGTAATTGACTTAGGATGCCAACAGCGTCTTTCTTTATTTAAGAACATGCTGACGCTTCGCTGTTCTATTTATCATCTCATCTCAAACAGTCTCAACCAAGCTTCTTGTTCACTGTTGCAGACCGCGCAAACTCCCTTGGACCAACACATTATTGAACGAAGCACTAGACGCAAGAGTTAACATGATGGATGAGAAAGAAGCCAGAGATGAGGTGCCGCCCAACAGGTCAAGCGGCGACGTGGAAAAGATGTCCTCCTCCGACATAGAAACCGAAAAGACATATCCTCCAAAGAAAGTCGTTCTACCAACGATGCTGGCTCTCTTCCTCGTATTCTTCCTCGTCGCACTGGCAAGTCACCCCCTACACGCTCCATCTACATACTAACACCTTCAAGGACCGCACAATCATCGGTACAGCAATCCCCACCATCTCCGCTGAGTTCGACAGCTTCGGCGATATCGCGTGGTACGAATCTGCCTTCCTCCTCCCGCTCTGCGTCTTCCAGCTCTCCTTCGGCCTCGTCTTTAAATACTACTCCACGAAATGGGTTCTGTTCATCTTAACAGCTATATTCGAGATCGGGTCCATCGTCTGTGCAGCTGCACCTAACTCGAATGCTTTGATCGTTGGAAGAGCTATCACTGGCATTGGAGGTGCAGGTATTGGCTCTGGAGTGTTTATCTACATCACGCTTCTGTTTCCTCTGGAGGAGAGGCCGAAGTATCTTGGATCCCTTGGTTCTGCCTTTGGAATATCGTCGATCTTGGGGCCGATCCTTGGGGGGTATCTCACCTCTGTTACATGGCGTTGGTGCTTTTGGATCAACGTTCCCATAGGCGGACTTTCACTCATTCTTCTGTTCATTCTGGCGCCAAACAGGCCACCACCCAGTGAGCCAGCCATTTCATGGCGTCAAAGATTCCTCGATCTTGATCCACTGGGTTTCCTCATGGTTGCTGGATCAGTCGTCAGTCTCCTCTTCGCCCTAGAGTTTGGCAAGGAGGACCAGCAGTGGACAAGCGGACGTGTCATCGCCCTCTTTGTAGTCTTCGGCGTTTTGTTCCTCGTATTCGCAGGCTACCAAGCTTGGAGGAAAGAAAAAGCGACAGTGCCTCCACGAATTCTTTTCCAACGAACCACGTTCTTTGCATGCCTAAACGCCTTAGCTATTGGTTCAGTACTGGTCATCTACTCGTTTTACCTTCCAGTTTGGTTCCAGGTGGTCAAGGGCAAGTCACCTCAAGATTCAGGTTTAGCTTTGATCCCGTTGCTACTGAGCAACGTGTTTTGTGTAGTTCTCGGTGGTGTTTTGGTATCCAAGATTGGATATTACACCCCGTTTGCTATCGCTGGCAGTGCTGTGTTTATTGTTGGCTCGGCGCTGATAAGTACCTGGACGGCGGATGTCAGCAAAGCCAAATGGATTGGCTATCAGGTATGTGTAGTCCACATAATGTTGATCAATGCTGACTGACGATGGCAGATTATCACCGGAATAGGCATGGGCTTGACGCTGCAACAGCCCGCCATCGCCATTCAGACTGCCCTCTCAGAAAGTGATAGCCCAATTGGCCTATCCATCCTCAACTTTCTTATGTTTCTTGGTGGAACAGTCTTTATCACCGTATCGCAGACACTACTCGAAGGTCAACTTGAGAGCAGAATCGCAAAGTATATTCCTGGAGTTGACATTAATACGCTTACGAACAGTGGCGCAACGACTCTTCGGGAGCTCGTGCCTTCCGACAAGGTGGACTTGGTGTTGAATGCGTATAACGATTCGATGCGGTCTATCTGGTATCTTGGCTTGGGCATGGGATGTTTTGCTCTGATTACCTCATTTGGGTTTGAATGGAAGAACGTTAAGGTGAAGAAGGCGGCCGGGGTAGCTGCAACTGCATAGCTTGTCAAGACTGTATATGCACATGATCAATAGAGAGTCTTATCTTATAGCCACAACAACTTCAACTGTCTTTTAAGCTGTTTCTGGCTCAGGCGGTCTGGCTATGTTATACGAAAATAGCCTGACTATAGTAATTGATAACAGCACGAAAAAGAATGACACGTTCATCCTACCCTCTTATTGGCTAGGCCAGCAGGTAGAAATGCAAAAAGATAATCTGATGAGACTGGGACTCGAACCCAGGAGGATTGCTCCACCAGGAAATTGGTGTCAAGGTTAACCTTAACCTGGCGCCATAACCAACTCGGCCATCTCACCGATGATTGGATGGCATTTCTAAACAAAGATCAGGCTTATATTGACTAGCGTTGGGTAACCATTTTATTTCCACGCCTTAGATCCGTAAGAGATTGAACAATTATCAACAGAGTAGAGCGTAATTACCTAATATTACGCCCATTGTAAAGTATTATCTACACTTAGCTTACTTCTTCACTATGCTCTAATACTTATTCTACTGCTATAGCCAGTATTTCCGCAATACTTAAATTAGGAGCTTATCTGCCCCTGTTAATGACCAAGCGACTCCAGTAAATAACAGCTCTAGAACATGTTAGCAGTATCGATAGTTTCGAAACTATCGATTTCTGATGTGGGCCATCTACCAGGGTCTCCTTTAATCTAAAACTTTTGACAGCCGCCACCCGGAACATTTCTAACGCTCCCTTTTCCTTCTTCTCTTTTTCTTCAACGCTGTCCAGCCAAAACCATCTTGGCAAGTCTCTCGTTATGCGTTTCAACTCAATTCTTTCCCTGGCCTTTGGGCTCCCAGTGGCCGTAGCAGGCCCTTGCAAACCCAGTTCTTGTACGTTTTGTGAACGCAAGAGTGAACTTGACTATCTAATAAGCTTCTGTAGCTTCTCCATCTAGCGATGCGGTTGTAATAACTTCAACTCTGGCGACTGCGTCTGGAGTCGCGTCTACGCAGACAGCCAGCGCGACTGCACCAGGGAACATCGAGACTTCTACGACTGGTGTTTCGCTCGCCTTGACATCAACTGGATCTGACACTTCGACCCTCATTACATCACTCGACACGACTGAGACTACAGCACTCGTACCTACAACAACGACCTCGGAAGAACCCGCTGTCACAACTTTCAACATCGTTGCCGAGGGCGGCCCAGCAGATGGCATAGTAATGGGTCAGAGGGAGAACTACTACGATCCCCAATTTGCCTCCAATCCAGCTTGGGAACCCGTCGCCTTCATCCTTGAAGAAGGCACAGGCTATCTCCGCCGCGCCGACCCATACAACCCTATTTTCCCACTCATCTGTATCCGCTGGGGTTCAGGTACAGAACCCAGCCCAGGCTGGTTCATCGACTGCTCAGCGTCAGACTCATACTTCGGCGCGCCTATTAAATGCGACCTCAAAAGTGGCGGCGAGCTCTCTTGCTCAATTCCTGCTGGCCACTGTAGATACTATACTATTCCTCCGAGGGACAACGGTGCTTGGGATTGTCAGGCGGATACTGGCGTTTTCCGGAACTTCTATACAGAGGAGAGCGTGGATGATGATGGTGTTACTTTTTATGAACCCTGGATGGGCTCTGAAGGATTAGAAGGATATGAAGGGCAAGGCCTTCCTAATCCCTTGGAATCAGTGACGTTTCGTTGGACAAGTGCGGATTAGATATGCCGTCGTCAGTGTAGTTCACCTGCTTGAATAGGTGCTACACGCGAATACGCGTAAAATAAAGATATCCTCGGGTTCGAGGAGAGCCTTTGGGGGCTCAGTGCTGAGAGTACAAGCCACGATGATATCATATGCGAGTGCTATTGAGCATCTTTTGCCTGGACTATATAACATTCGGTATCACGGAGGCAGACAGACCTCTAGATTAGGGTTAATGCATTTTCCTTGCTCGTGCAGGTTCATCATGCAGTATGGTTGCATCGCTCCAACTGGTGGACTATATTGGGGGTATATGTGAATCTGTTCTGATCATGCAAGATCAGTGTCTTGAATTTGTCACCCAACGGCACAGATTAATGGCCACTGCCAATCATGGGGTAAAAACCCCTCGCAGGAATTAAAAAGCCAACTATCTTTCTTTCCAAAAGTATAACGGCTCGATTATCGCGGCTTTCCGGCCCGTATCTGGACGATCGTCGACTCCCGTTCCGAATCCGGATATCACGGGGTGTTGAGCTCCGGTATGCTGCATTTATCACCCTATGGGGATGAGGGGAATGGCATGTGTAATTTGCATGCCAAATGTAACTACTATAAAATATGTAGTCAATCGCTATTACTGTTGATCAGCAGAATTGATCAAGTTCAGTCATTCTTCAGGTCTCAAGATGAAGTTTGCTTCAATTGTCGCGGCGGCTTTTGCTAGCGTTCCGGCGTTGGCTGTACCAGCTGGATTTGTCACTACCGATGGAACAAAGTTCCAACTTGACGGAAAGGACTTTTTCTTCGCTGGTAGCAACGCCTATTACCTCCCTTTCAACGTCGTAAGTATCCTCGAAGCACGATGTCCAAGCCGAAATTGACCTGTCCAGTGGGGAACGGATCACTACTCCGATGTCAAGCTAGGCCTTCAGCTCGCAAAAGACGCTGGTCTCAAAGTGATGCGCACCTGGGCCTTCCACGACAACAACAGGACTTATGTCTCTGGTGGTTTGCCTCAGTACGGCACTGGTGCTGAGAACACTGTCATGCAGTTCTTTGAGAAGGACGGAACTGTCAAGATTGATCTGAGCAAGCTTGATGTTGTGATTAAGGCTGCTGAGGACACTAATATGAAGCTCATTTTGGCTTTGACCAACAACTGGGCTGATTATGGCGGTATGGACGTGTATACTGTGAACCTTGGCGGTCAATATCATGATGATGTGAGTCTACTATAGTATTCGGCGGAGAAGAGATGCTAATCAATAATACAGTTCTACCGTCTTCCGGCTATCAAAAAAGCTTTCAAGAACTACATCTCAGCCGTTGTGAGCCGATACAAGGACTCCCCCGCCGTATTCGCCTGGGAAATCGCCAACGAGCCCCGCTGCGGCGCCGATGGAACTCGCAACCTTCCCCGTGGGCCCGACTGTACCCCGGCAACCATTACTTCCTGGGTCAGCGAGATGAGCACATATATCAAGTCCCTCGACGCAAATCATCTCGTCACCACCGGAAGTGAAGGCGGCTTCAACAGACAGTCAGACGACTGGACCTACAACGGCGCTGACGGCACTGACTTCGATGCTGAGATTAAGCTTCCCAACATCGACTTCAACACGTTCCACTCTTACCCTCAATACTGGAGCAAGACGACGGACTGGGTTGTTCAATGGATCAAAGACCATGCTGCCGCTGGCGTAACCGCCAAGAAGCCTGTTCTTCACGAAGAGTATGGCTGGACCGACAAGTCCACCCGTATCGCTACCCTGAGCAAATGGCAAAAGGCTTCTCTTGATCTTCAGGTCAGCGACATGTACTGGCAATTCGGTACTGGCAAGTTCTCATACGGCAAGAACCACGATGATGGAAACACTATCTATCTTGAGGACGACGAGGCTCAGCCTTTGGTCTATGAGCATGCTGCTGCTGTCAATGCCGCTAATGGAGAAGCTGTGACGACAAAGCCAACTGCTACTGCTACGGCCACGTCGAAGCCGAGTACTACTCTTTCGACTACTTCTAAGCCGACTGTTCCTGGTGGACCTACTGTAACTAGGTACGGGCAATGTGGTGGTGCTTCCTGGACTGGACCTACTGTTTGCGCTTCGCCGTATACATGCAAGGAGCAGAACCAGTGGTATTCTCAATGCTTGTAACGACTTCGCCAAGATAGAAATCAGATAGGATACTGCATTTAACTCCTAGATCTACTCATTACAGGCAAATTCAACTATAGCAAGCAATGTTTTCATGGGCAGATGCAAGACCATTTTGATGACTGACTATTTGGTCAGACGAGACAAAACATGTCTTTGCCTAGCCTAGCCTTTAGGCCTTCTCCTTGTCCCCCTCCTTGCTATGACCCCCTCAAGAAGTGCATTCAGACACGGTAAAGAAGAGACTTTTTTTTATCTTATCTTGCCCCAGTGTCACCAGACCCAGGCTTCCCAAATACTTTCCTGATCCAATTCCACCGAGTGGTCTCTGAATCATCCTCAGGCTGTTCCAAGGAGATATCTCGCAGATCATTCAGCTCCTTTATCAAATTCTTCGTAGCTTCCGCGTCAAGCCGATTCCAAGGCGACCATGCCTTCTTATAAGCTTTCAGCAGGACCCAAACTCCGAAGAAACAAATAGTCTATCGGTATCTGATTAGTTCTTTGTATTCTGGTTCTAATCTTCAGTGCTCTCACCGTCAGATACCCCGTCAAGAACGGGAAGACATGAAAGTCTTTCCACAAGAAAACCCCATTACAGACAAGAAGTATGGAGAGACAGGTCCCGAGTGCTCCGTACGCCAGAACGGGCTGCCAGTGGCTTTGATAGGGGTAAGCATCGGATTCAGCTTCGCGATCTTCTGCTAGGCGTATGCCATCCTCTGCAAGCGAGTCTCGAAACTTATGAATACTGCAACACGTTAGGATTTGTTCAACATCATAAAATCGGACAACTAACCAGTAGTGGTATCGGGCATAGGCCAAGCATAGGCATGCCCAGATAATGACGATGCTGACGGACCCCATCTGGACAAGAATCTCGAGGAACTTCCCTGCATCCGAGCCAGTGTGGACACTTTTCGTTCCTTGGAGAAAAGGCACCCAAGAGAAAGCAAGTGCAGTGAACACCATCGCCCGAAGTGGTACTCTGTCGCGATCCGTAACACCAAACCAGGCTAAAGCTGCTGGCATCGAATCACCAGAACGGATGTTCCGCGTGATGCCGAAAAGTGTTCTAGACGCGACGTATAGATTAGTATTAGCACATGTGAGTGCAGTAAACAGTATAAATGCGTTCAAGGCGTGGTCAAGATTGGGAATGGTCGACGCTTTTGCGATCAGGATAAAAGGCGAGAACGTGAAGCCCTCCTTGTCAGTCTCGGGCTTCCCGCAATCTTCGTCCTTCAACCAACTAAGCCTCTGAAGGCCGCAGTCGTCCCTTCTGAGACCCAGAGACACGAATAATCCGCTGATGGTGTACGCAGAAGCTACTAGTATTGGTAAAACAACCGCTGTGAACCCAATTGTCCGTTTGACGGAATCTCGTGCCGTCTTGTGTTTCTGAGGTGAGCCTGCCCTGGGTGGCGATGTGACAGCCGGAGTTGTAAATATGCCTGAAGAGTCCCTGCTTGAGACTTGTGTTGATGCCTGAGAAGGCCAACGTGCTTCGATGACGGAGACTGCAATGTTCTCGATTCCGGCGTATGCAAAGATAGCAAGTGATAGGCACATCCTTATAAGTATTAGCCGGTTTACCTTGCTTCCCTCATTCCAGAGACACTTACATAAAGGCTTCAAACCAGTTATCGGCAGCCTTCTCGTTGTATTTGCTGAAAGGGGTGCTCCAACCTATAAGTTAGAGCCTATTAGTTGACGATCATGCAAGATGCATATTCGCGACTTTTGAACACTTACTTGACCTGGTGTTATTAAGTGCTTTAGCTATTGGGGGGGAGTATTAGCGGCGAAGTCCCTATTGTGTTAGATATAAAGTTACCTGTTGACTCAGAACCATTTTCTGTCTCTTTGGGAAACTTGAATATAGCTATAGGAAGACAGATGATAATAATAGCCAAGAAAATGAGTTTGATGACTCCGGTGACAACTTCAATCCAGCCGTAGATCTTGTGAGAAGGTCAGATGAGAAGGCAGTTAGTTCGTGACTTGGCGTACCTCGACCTTGACAGAATTTATCATCACGAGTATCAAGGGAAGAGCAACATAGGCGAACCCCTCACTGAATCCGCTTATCCCTGCGGTCCAGTAATTGAGGACACTGGCAGAAGTGGCGATCAGGGCGGCGAATCCTATGGAATATGTATACCTGCGGTAAATTAGTCTTAACCAAATTACCCATGTCCAATATTTCTGTGCATACCAATATGCCACGCCAACAGTGTCTCCAAGCTCTTTATCCACAAACTTCCTAACAAACAAGGGGACTGCTCCTGGGACGGGCCATAGACATAGAAGTTCAGCGATGCATTGCATCACCGCCCAAGTCAAGAGTCCGAGGAAGAGGAAGGAGAAGATCACAGCCAGGGGTCCTCCAAGCTCGAGGATCTGACCGCTTCGCACATAAAGACCTGTGCCAAGGGTACCGTTCACAGCAATCATCTACCTCTATGTTAGCTCCCAGAGGCTCTATTCTCCAGCCTGGGAACGATGATGACCTACAAAAATATGAATACCTCTAAGCTTCCGGCGAACTGTGTGGATAGGAAGTTGAGTTGCTTCTGTTTCACCTTCGTGGGTAATTTCGAATCGTGCTGGAGCTTTGGGTTCTCGCCACCACCGCTAAGCGGATCAGAAGTATCTCTAGCGGGAGTTGCGCTGTTTGCTGTCAAGCCGCTGTCAAGTAGAGCACGGCCGTGAGACAATACAGTAAGAGGAATAGCTAGCGGCGCTTCTCCCAGACTAGATACGTTCCCAGGCATTTTGCCTGGTAAGAGATATGTTTCAAGACCTTGGATCATGCGAATAGCACGCTGGGAGTCTTAGTTTTAGAAGAAAAGGATTAATAGTCATGGGGCGATTTCAGGCGCAGCCGTTCGCCTACTCAAGCGCCGAGGCGTGAGGCTGCCGGTTTCTGGGAACAAGGCAGATTAGGGAGTTTCAGCCCCAACCACCCGCTGTGCTTGCAGGTGTCAATTCAGGAAATAGGATCTGGTGTCGGTACAGCACAATGATAGTCCAATTACGATACATAATTTCATAGTGTGATAGCGTCGTATGATATTGAGCAAGAGACATGTTGAGCCGCCTGTCAACAATCAATATTTCCAAAGACCACGAAAGGTAAGAAAACACCGCTCAATTGGACTCCCTGTCAACCGTATACCATGTTTCTCTGAGGTATCCTGGAGCCTGATTACAGCATGCCGTCATCTTTCAAGCCTTCTCTTGGCAACCAGTTCTAGACCTGGTCATTTTCAGCCGCAAGCCTCTGGTTGCCCTTTCAAGCGAGACAGCATGAGTATCCAGCAGTCGGAGGGCCATAAATGGTGTAAGATGCATGAGACCGGGGATGAGTTCATGGCTGCCTAGTCAATAGCCATTCAATAGAGGCTGAAATACTGGATCCTTACATGTGGCTTGTGACAGAACATGCATAAGAGGCTTATCACATTTTCAACAACCAGACAAACGCCTGGACGCGTGTGAGAAGAGTGGCCGGGCGGTTTGCCAAGGCCGAGTACGAGTTTTCATCCCTCCCCTCATCTTGAACCCCACTGTCGTGTCGCACAAGGGGTGAGAATTTGGTTATGTGTCACATGAAAGCATGTCCCCGAGGATAGCCCAAATTTCTTTGCGAGAGAGCGAAGTGCGCAGTTATAGACTGGAGGTTGTACAAACACAATTCAAAGAAAAAACCGCCGAAGGGCATATTCTCCATCATTAAGCCACAATGGCCAAATCCAAACAGGTCCAGGTGCACCAAGTCTTTGACAGTCGCTACTACGATGGGGTAAAGATACAAAGAATGCTCGAGAATCTCTTTCCAAATCAAAAAGGGCATTTTGGACTCCGTGTAGGCGTGGCTTCTTTGCACCTGGTGGCTTCACACTGCTGACTTGCCCTTGAAGATGACTAACGACCAGTGGGCTTTCAGAGCCCCGAGACAAGTAACCCGGGTCAGATAGATCGTCAATGTGGGATTATTACGTATTTGGTATTAACACACTGACAGGATGAACTCGCGTAAGCGCAATTGCAAGATCAACGGTAGCGATAGCTGACAAGGACAAGGCGCGCCGAAATTCCTCAATCTCGATGACGCTTCCAGGGAGCATCCCAGGTATGCTGACTGCAGCGTGGCATATATGGCTGGCTTGGTGGGCATGATCAGGCTGTGAGGCAGAATGGCAAGGGAACCTGATACTTGGTATAGTTGAAAGCTGAATCTCGTATGGATGGCATATAAGGTTAAAGGCTTCATATTAATTTACTTCCAGCCTTTACATATTTCTCCCTTCGCCGAAATCTAACGCAAATTCTTTCGTTATCTTTTGTCCCATTGGATATGTCTCACCCTTCCTTTGTGCATGAGGTCACTGAGCCAATCAGGGTTATCAGTACAGGTGCAGGGGTATCGGAGGAAGAATCTTCTGGGGCTGAGGTACATCAGTTCTCGACCTTGGAGCAGATCCAGTCCCACTTCAGCCGCACCGAAATCCTTGAGCAACCCTACCACTTTATGTACGTATTGTAGGAGCTTTCACTCCGTGGCAGACACCGTACTGATGCGGGGCAATTAGATCGATATGCCAACTCCAGTCTTGGAAGCCGTTAGAATGCACCAAACCAATGTTGAGCTTTCTTGTTGACAAGTTCAAACTGAAGCCCTCCGTTTGGGACGTGGCCTCATGTTTTTATACGAAAGATTTTAACGTTGAATCAACATTTTGCGTTCCTTTCACAGTGTCTCGCGATGGGCCAATAGCAGGTAAGCAATTCCCGGAGGTGGAGAAGTTAAGTAACTCAAAGGCTGTGTAGAGGTGTCGTATACAATTCGATATCCTGAATTCAAGGCTGCTCAAGGCACTTGGATCATTAGACAGAGCGGTATCTACCAGAGATTTAACAACGAAACAGGCCAGAATCTCTGCATTTTATTCAGCCCTATACCATCTTCCAAATTACATCAAGTTGTGCAGAACTGCGTCTCTCAAGTCTCCAGAAATGCCCTGAAAGACGTATTTTGGCTGCACGAGGAGGCCTTCAACACATATTTCTCTTCTTGGAGGCTTTATAATGTTCACCTGGAGAAAACGCTTCTCCCTATTGTATGATTACCCCTCAAGAGATAACTATAAGTTAACCGTTTCCAAGGCGAACAAGGCAGTGACTACGTGGATCGAAGAATCAACGGAAGAAGAGTGCCGTCATTTCACTGACTTAGCCTACGTTGAGAGCCGCTTGCTCCAGATGTCAATCATCTTAGGAACTTCAGACGAGCTGCTAGAGGGCTTATCTTCTCTCTGTCGCAACTGGTATCCTGATTCGATAGGAAAAGATAGAGAGTTAGCCATATCGGCGTTATCAGAATTTCAGAACCACCAGCTTAATTGTCGTTCCTATGCTAGAGTGGCAGAGTATTTACAGAAGCTGACTGAGAAGAACGTCCAGCTACTTGCGAACACTCTATCATTCCGAGAACAATTACGCGCCATAACTCAAAATGATAATATGCTGCAGTTGAATAAATCTGCTGTTTTTATCACTACATTGACCTTGCTGTATCTACCGGCTTCCTTTGTAGCAGTAAGTACAAGCTCAAGGCCTTTCAATACATATAATGCTGACGGATTGTAGACATTCTTCGGAATGAACTTCTTTGATCTTGACGACAGTGGAGATCATATTACGATGACCTCCATGATCTGGATATTCTTCCTATCTTCTACTGGTCTTACTATCGGTACCTTCATGTTATATCATGTTCTTCTAGATAGGACTCTTCTTAGTCGCATAGTAGGAAATGTTCCAAATGTCAAGGCCCTCATGCGAGGGAGAGGTAGAAAGGCATCTTGTGACATGGAATTAGGGAGCGTGTAATAAGAGCGTGAAATCAACCACACATCTCATGTATTATTATTTTCTAAACTAATCAGACTTTTCTGATATACACGATACTGTCCATCAGGTGACGCGGTCGTAATCAAGGCAATGGGTTCGCTCCAGCTGCCAATTACGCTCAGCTTAGCCTGACAGGGTGTCGAAGCCTCTTTAAGGTCTGCAATCTGTCGAAGTTGTGGGCGGACCCTGGGACTTGAGAGCTTCACCTCGAGTAGACAAAGGTGGCTGCTCCCCGAGTGCGCTCCTATAGCGACGACTACTTAGCCATTTGTCGCAATTTTGAGTATGCGATAGTATTCAATGGGAAGATACGCGATGCTCGTGGCTGCTTCTTCAGCGCCTTTAAACTTCAGATGAAATATCCGCTGAGCTTGCGCTACCACAAGGACTTCGGATTGAGCTTCGTTTGCTTCACTTTGGAAGGAAACCATGTCTGTAAACAGACGTTCGGCGCTGCTAGTAGGTGACTGGGAGCGGTGATGTTAGGCCATGTATCAAATACGCAGCGAGTAACTTACTCCAAGCTTCAGGTCTTGCTTCACTACCCTTGGACGGCGAATAGTGAAAAGGCATAGGGATAGGGTCGATGCGTTGCGAATAATTATATACCCTTCATCTTGTGTTCTTAGCGCTATGTGCTCGACTGAGGATGTAGAACAGTTTAGGTCAAGAACCTTCTGTCGGACAAGACGAATTCCAGCTTCCTGATATTCTTGGCGTGATGAAGTTTCCGAAAAGACACTGATAGCCATATTAGTGGGGTACCAAACGGCACAGCGATCAACACTCACCTAGCTGACGGCGTGGTTGGTTCAGATAGATTCGTATGTATCACTGCCGTGAACAATGATGCTCGATCGTTATTACTTAGGATACATGCCAGCGCGTTTTGGCTTGGTGATACTGTCAAACTGTGAAATCCAGGATGTGGCAAGCTGATTTTGCTGTATGTTCGCAGCGTCTGATCCACCGCAATGTCAAATATATAACACTGGCAGGCTGTGTTAGCTATACTACGCTTGTCCAAATCTCCTTTCAAATCTATACTTACTTCCAATGACTTTATCTCTGTCGTAGCAGCAACCAAGTATGAGTGTGTTAGCCCCAGGGATTTCCAGGAGCAGCTCACTCCAGCTAGTTGATGTTCTGCAACGTTCCTCAGAGCACGATCTCGTACGCTATCTGTGGAGGTGGCCCTGAATCCGGTGCCAAATGTACTGCTAGAATTTGTTCTTGATATCGCGGTTGCTCTGTCGAATACCATGATAGCCTTGTCACTCCAGTAAACTATCGATTGGCCATTAGGCGAACTCCGACAGTCTTTAAAACGAGTAGATTTGTTTATATCGAGTCTCCAACGGTGGATATCTACTGGAACAATAGAACGCTCTTTGTGAAATCCATGGGTAAGGGCACTAAATATTGTTAGTCTTGATGACCTTATAGTCGAAAGTGATGTGTATACTCTTTGAGTTTCCGGCGTAATGGATATGGCTTTTCGGCGGGAAAATCAGGCCTGGCTGATGATTCTGCAGTTTGATAATTCTTCAGTGTTTTTCCTAGGCATTGAACTATTGATTCTGCGTTGCACCTGTTGCCTTGGTCAATCACCAGGACACTACTCTCCAGGTACCTGAGTATATGTGAAACCGCATCCCCTTCAGCCGCGTTTCGTTTCTTCGCGGCTTCAATTAATTTGGTGTGTTGCCTTTTCACAGCCTCGTTCAAACCAGCACCCCTGCTGGGCCTGTTCTCCTGATAGAAGACGTCGAACTTCTTGTTGTACTTGCATCGAGACTCGCTGTAATGCTCTAACGCTGAATGCCCTTCTTCCATGTAGGTAAATAGGACGCTGATAACGCAGCCCAAGGACCAAATGTCACTCTTTTGGTTCATCGTCTTTCTCTTGTCTTGAGCTTCAATTGGTAGGTATGTAGCGTTCCCCCGATGGTTTTGAGTTGGGGATGCTTGGCTGGACTGGTCAATCATTTTCCTTTCGAAGAGGCTGTCCAAATTCTTTTCCGGCTTTGTTTTGGTCTTGACTCTTGACAAACCAAAGTCGCTAAGCTTCCAAATCATATCGTAGGCCCTGTCCTCTGTGCCAGTACCCTCAATTCGTGGTTTATGTAGAAACACCAAGATATTGCTAGGCTTGAGATCCATGTGGTAACAAACCAACTGATCACCTCCGACCGTGGTCATCTTGCTATGGAGAAACTCAAGTCCATCTGCTAGGCCTATAGTGGCGCTGATTATACGCTCTCGGGCCCATCTGTCATGGATAGAGATCTCTGGATTGACTTCCATATACTTCTGCAGGTCCATGTCTGCTAGTGGCATGAGTAGACTGAACTTTGGCTCTGGCCCTCTGATGACAAGGGTGCCAAAGCTCTCGAGAATATTCTTATGCTTGGAGTTGACACTGAAGATCTCTCGAATAGATTTTACCTCTTTCTCAAAATTCTCCTCCATGTTTTTGGCAACTATGTAGTCTTTTCGGGCGACCAGCTTGGCCATTGAATTGGTTTGATTGAAGTCTTGTTGCGTGGTCAAATGTTCCTTGGGTATCTTGACCTCATAAACGCTTCCAAAAGCACCGGAACCGATATGCCTCTCATCTAGCCATGGCAGAGACCGCTTATCATCCTGATCAATAGTGACGACTCCTGGCCCACCAAGGACGATGGTACAGAAAGGGCGCTGCTCGGCGAAGAAATCCTGGGCGTCGAGAGGGCCGAACAGACTGACAAGATAGTCCTGGGTCGCTGGGAGCAGATATGGGGTTTCGCTATAGCCTTGCTGTTCTTCTGCCATGTCTCCGAATACAAGCTGTTTGATAAAGGCTTTTGCGGCTTTGATAGAGCACCTTGCGTATAACAAAATGGCCAAAAAGCCATGCAGCATTTTCCTCTCCATATTTCGAACAAAATGGCGGGCGTCAACAGCGATTGAGCCTGTCTCCGAGAAATTGGCATCATCGCAGATGCTCCCATAAATCATTTCCAGCACAGGCCGTGTCAGAATCTTCCTGACCATTCCTCTTGTCGCGAACTTGTCCTTTGTCTCGGCTTTTTTGAACTTGACGGTGAATCGTGATCTTATGTCGCGACATATCTCAGTGTAATCCGGTCTCGCCATAGTAGACGCTAAGGAAACGCGAACATTGATTTGGGGTCGTGAGTAACGCGAAAGAAGATCAAGGCGAGAATGCAAGAGCCTTGTAGCGGGGTGCGGGCCACAGGCTTTATGAGCAAATAGCTTGCGCGGGGGAATAAGCAGCCTCTTTCGTTCTTCTGTCTCAACGAAAGATGACGCGGGAAAAGAGGCAACATGGTTGGCTGAGGTTCGCCAAAGCCCTGCAACAGTGCCAATAGCGGACTGTCCTTAGGCGCCCAAGACATTATTTTCAGCCGCAGACTAAGGTCGAGCGCAAGCATTGGAAAATGGCACAAGGCAACACTATTAGGGTGAGTGGCTTCAGGACACAATAAGGGCTATTAGAGCCATAGTGACCTTTGGAGAAAGGACATAGAACAAAGATTATCGCTGCATGACGGGAGCTGCATGTGCACAGAGTACATTAATACAAATACTGATTACAGATACAAGAGGTCCTCAAGATAAGATAAGATCCATTAAAAGCCCTAACCTGACTATGCAACGAGCAATCCCCGAATTGGCTACTCCGTATATGATCTCCTGTGCTAGAGTCTAGAATTCGATCAAATGGTTATAAGTGGGATGACATTGGCTATTTTACAAGAAGAAACGAGCTTAAAGAAATTAATGTCGTGGCTCCACCGCTATCACGCTGTTGTTAGTGGTAGAAGCTGTAAAATACTATGGAACTCGTTGTCTTATCAGTCGGGTGATTTTCGCTTAGAGCAATGTGTTCATGTTGAGTTTTACTAGCAAGGGTACTGTGCCGAATGAGCCGGCTGTCATACACGAGCTAAATACCTCAGGTACCCTAAAGATTTTTACTCTTGTGTTCCTTGATAATTTTCGTCTGGCTAAATCAACGACCACAGTTGACGATTCAAAAATACCGGCGATGCCCATGATACTGGAGAATGCGCACGACGACCCCGTCAACACTGGCGGGGACGCAAGAGGCAACTTGAGTGATACTTCATCCGACAATATTCTTCTGGTTGGTGGTGCAGAAGAACTCAAACACACAGAACACGCAGCGCTGACACGAGAATATTAGGAAAAACTAGGATACAAACCTGTAGGAGGCAAAGAAAAGCTTCCAGATAAATAATAACTAATTATGAACAGGTCCTACAACGCAGTTTCAATCAATTCCACAATTTCGCCACCACGTTCGGTCGGTCACTCCACCCAGCAAACCGTGACACAAATTCTAACACTACCCAGCTGCGCTCTACTTCATCGGTGGTGTGCGCGTTACTTTCTCAACAGGTATTGCGGCAGGCGGTAATTTAGCATACTGGTAAGTCTCAACCCGCACGTGGCCCTCACTTAGCTAATCCCTTCGGAAGGACGAGTTACATCGTAACATGTGTCTTTACCTTCATAACCGCCGCAGTCATCGCCGAGATCTGCTCTTCCCTGCCCATAGCTGGCTCCATCTATCTTTGGGCTGCTGAAGCTGGCGGTCCTCGATATGGGAGATTGTTTGGGTTTGTTGTTGCTTGGTGGTCTACAACCGCTTGGACAACATTTTGTGCCAGTTAGTGCCGTCCCCACGTAACCTTGAAGTTGAGTTCTAATTTTTGTGGCATGAAGGTAATACGCAAGCTGCTGTGAATTACATGCTCTCGGTAAGTAATATTGCTCAGGACTACAGATTCTTTCTGGTCTGACATCATCAGGAAATCGTCGTGTTCAACACAGACTTTCCCTCCGACTCATCAAGCGTCAAGTTTCGAGCCGTGCAATGGGTCCTAACAGAGATAATGCTCGCATTGGCTTGCATCTGGAACCTCCTCCCTCGTAAGCCCACTAACGCCACCTTCAATAGCACTTCTAACGTCAGCAGCTCGGTATTTCAAGTGGATCTTCGGGCTGTCCAGTGGCATTGTCATTCTCGACTTCGTCCTCAACCTAATCTGGCTCCCCATCGCCACTAGCAACACTCTTGGCTTCCGATCAACACATGATGCTTTCATGACGACTTACAATGGCACTGGGGCCCCGCCTGGTTGGAATTGGTGCCTTTCATACCTTGCTACTGCTGGCATCTTGATTGGGTTTGATGCTTCGGGTCATGTAGCTGAAGAGACTAAGAACGCGTCGGTCGCAGCGGCGAGGGGTATTTTCTGGAGTACTGTCGTCAGCGGTATTGGCGGTTTTATCGTAGTCATCCTTTTCTTGTTCTGCGTGGTAAGTATTATGTCATTTAAACAATATGGACTGCTTGTTAACGTCATGGCAGCCAGATGCGACAACGCTCTTCTCTTATGGCGGTCCTCAGCCTTTCGTGTCAGTTTATGCCGCGATCCTCGGGGAGGGTGGTCACATCGTCATGAATATCGTTTGTATACTGGCACTCTGGTTTGTGAGTATTCTGATCATAACTTACACTAAAACGACGAAGCTGACTTGGGCCAGAACACCGCAATCGCAGTAACTGCAGCTTCTCGACTGGTCTTCGCCGTGGCAAGAGACGGAGTTCTACCATGGTCCAGCTGGGTCTCTAAGGTGGAAGCAGGCCAACCTCGCAACGCTATCTACGTCGTCTGGGGAGTCGCCTCAATCATCACCTGCACTATCCTACCGTCAGCGGTGGCATTTACTTCCCTTGTATCCGCCGCCGGCGTACCGTCAGCAGCTGCATATGGCCTCATCTGCCTTGCCCGACTCTGTCTAACACCCAAGAACTTCCCCAAGCCAGCATGGAGCCTAGGGCGTCTCAGCAAGCCCTTTCAGGTCATCGCAGTATTTTGGAATGGCTGGGTCGTTGCTGTGTTGTACTCGCCATATATTTTCCCAGTCACGGCTGAGTCGCTCAACTATGCACCCATCATCATGGCTGGCACTACCATCCTGGCCTTGTTGACTTGGTGGTTTACCCCGGCAGAGAAGTGGTTACCGAGCGAGAGAATACAGCAGACTTTGGACGCTAATACGAGTGCAAGGCATTAACTTGCAACCAAAATGCGGGTTGTCATTATGAGAAAAAGCTTGCATAAAGGAATTGTGTACGATGCATAAAATAGAACAATGAGTTTTGAATCTCCCTTTAAAGATTAGCGCGTTCAATTCACATCTTGGCATCATCATTTGAACTTGCTCTTTTTGGTATAGCAGCGTTCAGCTTCGCTCTTATCCAATCGGAAAGGAAGAACGTGATCCGTCATCCTTGGAAAAGGTACGTATTTTCAACAGGCAAATAATATGATAAAGCGAGCTGAAGTGAACTGGGCTCTGGTTTCATTTCCCTATCTCTGCTTGACCACGACTATACTCACATGTCATTTCCTCGTTCACGGCCTCGAGTCTCAGACCGCAGTTCTTTTCAATTAGAAATATGGGGTCTTTAAGGTTGAAATGGGTTTACGGGTCCACTCATCGGGCCCAAGACGTGTCAAATGACGCTGTTGACGAATACAAAAGCATCGTTCAACAGCTTTACCTAGAACAGAACATGACGCGCGAGGAAGTTCTAAGCCATCTCAAAGATGTACATGGATTCTCTTTATCGTACGTAAAGCTAGATGGGCATGGTGTAGTATAAATTTACCTTGCTGACCAGACGTACCGCAGTACGAACCAGTTCTCCAAAGCCACGAAACGCTGGGGCTTTTACAAGCAACCTCGACAACTCCCAACGAGGGCGCAGCCTCCTCCGTCAATCACTGAGGAAGAAGAGGCGTCCAATCCGCTCAATCCACTGGAAGAACTCTTTGATTTCGAGCCAGATGTTCTCGACACGATTGACGAGACTAAGGCTTACTTTGGGACTGGGGATGAGAAAATTACAGATTCGCAGATTCTCGAAGATGTCCAAGGGCAGTTTTCATACACCGGAAGAAGCTTCGTTTCCGAGCCACCTCCCTCACTCAACCATTCGCAGCCACTGGCCATGGATGTTGACTTTCCATGCGACGCTCTTCATTACGGTACAGACAAAAGCCTTCCCGAGAGCTCTAAAAGACAACTCCAGCAACTGAAGGCGGCCCGAAAGCTTGAAACAGGGCCACATTCAATCAGCTCAAAGATGTTCGCCCGAGTTCCTTCTGACAATCATACCAACAAGAAGTCGCATGTTGATTATTTAACTTGTTGTTACCTCTTTAAAGAAGCCGTTTACCGTTTAGAAAGATCGGGCAACAGCCTCGATACACAAGAACACCCAGTTACAAGAAGCAACACTGACAAGCTTTTCGCACGATATCGCAGAGACAAGGGCAAACTATTAGCAAGCCCGAGCATTTCTCTCGACACGTGGTCTATTCTTTGCCTCCTAGAACCAAGCCATCGCGGGTGGCCGGACGATGTTCTTCTCGACAGGTTAGACATAAACGATCTGCAGTTTATGGACGTAGTGAGGGAATGCTTGGGAGTGTGTAAGAAGTGGATCGAGCTGGTCGGAAAGGGGATGCCAAGGGGTGCTGTCCAATTTGACAGCCTCCTTTTGCACCAGAATGCAACCGAAGCCTTACAGAACATTTGTCTTCCCCTCGGTGCACAGAGTCCTGTTGATACATGGCAGGAGGCCGGATATGTCTTTGCTTTTGTCTGGAGCAATGAGCAACGAGAGGCCGCAAACTCTTCGTCTTGGTTGAAAGAAGCCGACATATCCGGACTATCTCCTACTTATTTCCTGGCTATTGTTTGTCGGATGATTGTCTATATATTTGCCCATGGAGCTGAAAACCCCTGGGCCATCTTTAAAAGGGATGCCGAATCTGTCTGCAGGGCCTATCTGCGAACAATTGAGAAGTTCAAGCTAATGGATCCATCACGAGCCGTTAAAAGACTGTTTATCATCTCCCTCTCCGATCATCATGCGGGGCCTGATATGGATCCAGGGGAGAGAAGAAAGCTCAAGAGCGTCCAATCTTATCAGAAGAGAGCTGAAGACCTTGTGTTCGAAGACGAAAGAGATACCTTAACTCAAAATGTCCCGCAGGCCACTACATCGCATGGAGATGTTCGGACAACAA